TTATACAGTACATAATTTTATATATCCTGCATGGGACCCGCATACACTGACCAGCAGGAATAATGGGGGATTTAGAGTTTTGTGTAGTTGTTTCACTGATTTTCCAATTTAATGATGTTGGTCTTGCCTGTTTAAAATCAGAGGTAAATTGCTCTCCCATGACCCATTTTGTTTTTATTCATAATTAACTCATACAATGTTAAGTCATTCATTACTTGCAGCAAATTACTGAAAGTAGAATTATTTCATTTATTGCTAGAAAATCAACACCAGTCACCTGGTAGCTAGGTGAAACAAATGTTAAAACCAGAAAAGTTCAGTACGACAATTGACTCCCCTGCTACCAAGCTACACAGTATTTGTGTCCCTGTTTGAAAGATTTCTGTAAGCAACAGTGACCTTGGCCTTGAGCATGGAACCCTCATTATGAAGTCCACCCTGATATTCTCATACTTGACATTTTAAAATGTTATCAAAATCCACTCAGAAATGAAATCCCTTCAGCCACGATACTGAATCTAGGGCAGAATGATAATGTAAAGATGAATAGACAATCATTTAATTGATTATTTAAGTATATATTTTATTCTAATCGCTTTCTGTCCGTCGTCCGTCGTGCGTCGTCCGTCGTGCGTCGTCCGTCGTGCGTCAACTTTTTACATTTTCAACTTCTTCTCAAGAACCAGATGATGGATTTTTTTTCAAACTTGGTCAGAATCATCCTTGGTAGATGAGGCTACAAAATTGTAAAATTGGGATTCCTACCCCAACCCCTGGGGCGGGGCCCCAAAGGGAAAATTAACCAATATTTCAAAAATCTTCTTCTTCAGACTCGGAGGTACTACCGTCATTTTCTCTGCATGGAAAGAAATATCATCAGGTGCTTAACTTAAATTGTAAATTTCAGGACCCCCGAGCTATTCGTTCTCCCTTGGGGAGGGGGTAAAGTTTACTATAGTTTATATAGGGAAATAACACTTTTGGGTATATTTGAAAACTTTCCGTAGGAAATTATTTTTACTTGGTGAGAATTATCCTTGGAGGTAGATGGTTTCAAATTGTAAAATTGAGATTCCTACCCCGACCCCTGGGGCCAGGGCGGGGCCCCAAAGGGAAAATTAATCAATATTTCAAAAATCTTCTTCTCCAGACTCAGAGGTACTACAGTGATTTTCTCTACGTGGAAAGAAAGATCATCAGGGGCTTTACTTAAATTGTAAATTTCAGGACCCCCGAGCTATCCGTTCTCCCTTGGGGAGGGGGTAAAGTTTACTATAGTTTATATAGGGAAATAACACTTTTGGGTATATATTTTATCCATTTTCAGCAGAAAATTACTCAAACTTAGTCAGAATCATCTTTGGTGAATGAGAGTATTACTTTGTAAAATTGGGATTCCTGCCCCATCCCCAGGGGCTAGGGCGGGGCCCCAAAGGGAACATTTACCAATATTTTCAAATTCTAATCCTTTGATGACATGACAAGTATTGTATTTCACTTAGTTTACATGCTGATTTCCACATCACATCTAAACAATAAAATAAAGCTACCAGTACCTATGATATAACTCACATTATCCCACAATTTCCATCTTTGACCTCTGTTTACTACCTGGTCAAGTGTGAGTGACCCCGTCTGATGTTTTGATGTGCAGAGACACTCCACCCTGTCTTTCGCATTTTGTTTCTCACCGTGTTATAGATTCTCACTACCTTTATTCACATTTTTTTTTATTAATTCACTTGGCCCACATCTTCAAGATGATTTTTTTACCATAATTAGCCTTCAGCTACAAGCTAAGTGAGGGGATACATACATGATAACATGAGCATATTATATAAGTGATTACCGTCTTTTTGTTTATGTTGTAGTATTGTTTCATAGTGACTGCTTATCTCTGTTATATGTTGTGATATGTACATGTAAGTGTTCATGTTTCTATCTTAAAAAAAGTGTAGATTGCCTTGAAAATTTGACTGATTCCTTTGTCTACACTGTCTTATTCTTATTTCATTAACCCTTTCACCACTGTAGACCATAATAGACTCATCCAGATCAGTGCATGGTAGAGTCTACTAAAGTTACATAGGGGTGAAAGGGTTAAGAGACGAATCTCCAAGGATGGAGCAATAATGTCTCTGGATACTGTGCGTGCATGTGCTGTAAAGAAAAAAATGAGTTTTGTAAATTAATGTAACTTAAAATCAAAATATTTATATAAAGGGTAGAAAGATGGGTGAGGGGGGGGGGATTTAGTGTCCTGTCTCACGGCATGACAATGAGAATTAGTTTTAAAACAGTGCAGTGCATCACAGTCACACAATTTTCACACAAATATTTGTTTTACTTCGTCTCCTGGACAACTCGGGGGCAACAGGTGTTCCTACATACATAGGACAGCCTATGTTAGTCGGGCAGATGGAGAGGAGATATGTTGGAGGCTGTACTGTATGTGGAGAGTCATGCCGTGAGAACGAGGGGGGGTTGGGGTGTAGTGAAGTGATAATGTGAGAAGTACAGACCAGCCTTGAATGATTCAAGGCTGTCAGCCTCAGCCATTGAGGAGGGAAGGTTGTTCCAGTCTGTTATCGTCCTTGGCATGTATGATGACTTGAAACAGTCCTTGGAAGCCTGTATAGGACAATAACGGTGGCCCCCTCCTGTCTTGGAGTCAGCCTTGGTGAGGTACCAGTCGGCTGGAATAGCTATAAGATCATGAGTGATTTTATAGAAGTTGACAAGTCTTGCCTTCTTCCTATGGTTCTGCAGGGAGTCCCACTAAAGGTTGTTGACCATGTCCGACACACATCCTGGTGTTCTGGAGTGGAAGTCGTTGTTGACATATCTGGCCGCTCCTCTCTGGACAGCCTCAAGCTGGTTGATGTGCTCTGCACGGCATGGATCCCAGGCAGAGCATGTGTACTTCAGTTAAGGTCTGACAAGGGCAGAGTAAGTGAGAGCTTTGCCTGCCTGGTGCATCCAGACATGCATGTTACGGCTCAAGAATCATAGAGTTTGATGTGCCTTAGCTATTGTGCTGTTTATATGTGGGCTCCAGGACAGGTCGTGTGACAGGATTACTCCCAGTTATTTGCTCTCAGTCGTTATAACTTCTTGCTTATACAGCTATATACAATCCTTCATCTTGCTCTTGACGTGTACACCGAACATTACACAATGAGTCTATGTAGATCCTACGTGACAGGTAACAGTTGTATAATGTTCCGACCCCAATACTGCCATTATTCTTATTTGGAAAATTGCTTCCATGTATAAATCACTCCGTGTACTTTTAAAACTAATTTCATTGGTTTGTAATTGAATCCTTGGGTAGTAGAAGTGCATGTGGTGACTTTATTGGTAGCCACTCGGGACAAATAAGTAAATAGAAACTTTTTAACTCTGGAAGACATTTGAACTTCAGCAGTGGTTGGTTTAGGAAGACTGCAACATTTACTTCAATGTCATATATATATATAAATACAGAAGGTCTTTATACCTTTAAGTTCCATTCATATGAGATTCGTGAAGCTAGTCTAACAGATATCAGTACCTGGATGAAAGCCAACATGCTAAAGCTTAATCAGGAAAAGACAGAACTAATCGTCTTTTCCCAAAAGTGTCGGGAAACAATGGCTCTCCAGCTCAAGGACAGTGCCAGAACTATTGAGACTGTTCCAGCTGTTAAAAACCTAGAGGCTGTATCCGGCAGTTTATAACTGCAGATGCATGCACAATTTTGGTGCATTCACCTGTTACCTCTCTGTTGGATTATGGTAACGCCCTGCTCTGTGGTATATCTGACAAACTAACTAGTCGTCTGCAGAGGGTCCAGAACACTGCAGCACGGCTGGTTACTCGTACTAGAAAGAGAGAGCACATCACACCTGTGCTATATTCGTTGCACTGGTTACCTGTACCGTACAGGTCGCAGTACAAAATGTTGGTGTACACATACAAGGCACTGAATGGAACAGCTCCCTAGTACCTACAGGAACTTGTTACCCTGTATCAGCCGTCACAATCACTGCGGTCCGAGTCAGAATCATTGTTGTGCGTCCAAAAATCTTGTACTGTAACTTATGGATCCCGGTGCTTTGGGAGGGTTTTTGCCACGTTGTGCAATAGTTTACCATCTGATATATATAAGAAAGTCAAATACCCTGGCCAAATTCAAGAGGGACATCAAAACTCACCTCTTTACGTACCCATTTTAGGCTTTTTGCAAAGACGTCCTGTAAATACCACCCTTTATTTGTTTTATTGTAAGCTAGCCTTTGTTTTTGTTTCACAATTATAACTAATACTATTATCCATATGTTGTAAAGCGCTTTAGAGTAATTTTACAAATTATATAGGGCGCTATATAAATGTTGTATATTATTATTATTATGAAATTAAATGTCTCAAATATTGGGTGCTTGCTGAAACTAAACTTTGCCTCAAAATTTAGACTTGTTTCAAAATTTCAGATGAAGGGAAAACAAATGTAGGATTTAGTTAATATGCCACATAACTAAGGTTTTTGCAGATATTTGTGAAAACATTTTCTTGGACAGTTGGAAATCTAAAGTATTGACCTTTTTTCCGCTTTGTTTTGTGATGTCGCAATGCAATTCAAACACTGACTTCTTGACGATGTTATAATAAAACAATGGGAACCTACAGCCAATCAAATATATATGTAAACTTTATTTAATTTACAACAATTATGAAACAAGTTATAACAACTGACATTAATCACTCTTGGTGGCCCGGATCATCACAGTTAGCCAGTCAGATCTCTGCTAGGTGTTATTCTACGCAATTCATAGCACAACTTATATATTGGGTGATGATGACATTGATCGCAAAGATGTAATGCGATAATTTAAATTTTTCTTAATGACTCTCTCTCAAATTTTCTGTTCATATAAAATCTGGAACCAGATGGAGTCAGAATTTACCACTCTGTCCCAAAACGTCAGAACTTTTGAGTACATGTCTTTGTATCTTTTTAGAATTTCACGATGGCCGATAACCGTGATGATGACTGTGACCTTGACACGATCACAGCGACCTCTCCACTGAAGTCAGATCAGGACGTGGACGACATACCTGAACATCTAAGTGAAGATCTAGAGGAAGAGGAGGGGGAACGGAGCAATGATTCTGAGAATGAGGATGAAGGGTATAAATAAATAACTCCTGATTGAGTTATATTTTGAAACATCCAATATCGTTGGCACTTATTAACTTTTCACAATACTGCAAAATATAATAACTTTTCACAATACTGCAAAATATTAGTTGTAAGAAAACATTTTTCTTCAAAGGACCTGTTACAGGAACAAAAGAATTTTGCCCACAAAGNAAAGGAAATGTTTTTCTTAGTTTTCAATGTGTTAATTAAACAAAACAAATAAAACAAACTGCTCTGATTTGATAATATGGCTACAGTCATTTTGAAAACTTCAAAAGAATATCTTGAAAAAATGTGTGCAGATAAACTTGTGTTTTCTGGATAAACTGGTGTTTTCTGAATTAATTGATGTTTTCTGGATAAACTGATGTTTTCTGGATAAACTGATGTTTTCTGGATATACTGGTGTTTTCTGGATAAACTAATGTTTTCTGGATAAACTGATGTTTTCTGGATAAACTGGTGTTTTCTGGACTAATTGATGTTTTCTGGATTAACAGTGTTTATTTAGATTAAATGATGTTGGAAATGTTATGTTTCTTTAGGTTACTTGACCTCGAGTGTCAAATGGCGTCTGGGTTAGATCTGAGTACTGGACGGAAGCGAGGTATCCGAAAGTACAGGCATGCTCTCAAGTCACTAAAACCCTATAGGAACAGCAAAACGTGAGTGAACTCATTATAAATTGCTCCTAATGAATCAAGTATTTCATATGGCAGCACTTTCAGAAATTGTCAGTCTAATATCATATCAAAGCAATAATGCATATTAAAGAAAAGTACCAGTGTAACAGCCACTTCTTTTGCCCCCCATTGATATCTTCCCCGGGGAAAAAATCAGCTACAAGATGGTAAGTCATTGTATTGAATGTCACAGTATTGCTTTTACCACTTAGAAATCCATTCAACCAATCTAATTAAAATTACAATGTATGTCTTCACATCGTTCCCATTTACTGATGTCGCACGGACATGATCACCCTATCACTAAACGGGAGCGATGCATATGTGAACCAACAGAACTTGATAAGGTTTGAGCACTCTTTGGCAAAAGACATAAAATGGTTGACTTAAACCCGGAACAGGATTGTAATTTATTCCCATTGATTTTCATTACACAGATCGCTTATAATGATCAACAATAAAAACTGATGTAAGTCAATTTGGTGATTATGACAAATTCCGAGGTAGTGTTTATATGTGTTCTTTGTTCTATGACCTTGACCTTTAGCCCCAAGGATGAACTGCCAGAAGCCACAGCAGGATTTTTCTCTTTGCTCACTTACGCATGGCTAACACCCATCATGTGGAAGATCTACAGAAAAGGAACTGGTTTCCTTGGCAACATGAGATGTAGTGATAACAACAGAGCAGAAATAAACTCAGAAAGGTAAATATACTGAAAGTGAGGCTGTTGAGTGTCTTGGGCTAGGTAAATATACTTAAAGTGAGGCTATTGGGTGTCTTGGGCTGTGGAATTCAATTCAGAGGTTTCTTACCGAGACCAGCCTGTAATTGACAGACATTTCATGATCGAGTGAATGAATATTAAGATTTATCACATAACTAACCCATTTTACTATGTCATATGGCCCTGTCATAATATGTAATACAACCTAAAGGTGCTGCAGTTGGTCAAAACCGTGGGAACATTGTGAACTTTATTAACTATTTTTGTTTTTTTTATATAAATTTTATTGTTTTTGCTATTAAATGAATTTAATTGTGTTTGAGATTTTTTTCAAATTATGAATGTTACATTTGTGTCCATGTCATATTGAATATATTAAACTCTTTTTCAATAATTCAATATGTCATGGACACTCATGTAAGATCCTCTATCCTGCTCATGATCACCTGATCATGATATAGGAGGTAAAATAAACTCTGGCAGGAGTGATACCTCCCACATGACACAGATTGACTGACCATGGCCATGAGTATGAAAAAAAGTTAAATCATGTAATCAAAATATGACAATATTTTTCAGGACAAATTTCTGTAAAACACAAAAATGAAAAAATACAGGGTATGATTTTGTATCGTCTGTTGCAGACTTGAAAAGTTATGGAAAGAAGAGCTGAAGAGGAAAGGCCCTAAGGACGCATCTTTTGGCTGGGTGGTTTTCAGAGCCGTGAGAACACGCATCTTCTTTGGTGGAATGACCTTCATTTTATCTGTCAGCTTCAGTTTCTTTGCTCCTGTGAGTGAAAATTGGGATGGATGGTGCCATTTGCCATATTAGACTGATTATAAGTACCCTACCACAAAGAAGCACCCCCTGCCCTTTTTCTGGTCTAACCAATCCCATCCCTGCACTAAAATTTAATGACTTTATTCAAAATTTAAATAAAGTCAATCAGAAGAATTTTAACTTACCTAGTTTATAATGCTTGGTGACCTTTTGCAGTACGTTCCATTGTGTCCATTTCCTATCAATCTTTTTTCTTTAAAAAGCTACTTCTCATGAATGAAATGTAACTTCCAGTAGCATCATTTGTAACTGTGGGGGTTGTTTTGGGGACTTTTGTAATGGCCCACATAATAGCACTTGTTAATTATGTACATTGTGTTTCAGGCATTAGTATTAAACAAGCTGCTAAAGACATTATCCAACAAAGAGAAATTTGATATTGCCTATGGAATAATGCTGGTAGCTATCATCTCTGTGATGGAGTTCTGCCGCTCAATGCTGTTTGCTCTCGGCTGGGTAACCAACTACACCACAGGTTTGTGATTTCTTTGCCCATGTGGTTCAGAGAGATTTGTCTCTTGTCTGTGAAGTTTCATACTTGCCAACCCTTCCTATTTTGGAGGGAAACTCCCGATTTTGGACCCTTAAATTGAGCATTGGCAACCAGTGAATTTGCTAAACTATTTCTATTTTCAAAGATATGATGATATCATCTGAAATGACCAATTCAAAAATGCCATTTAAAAGGGTTATTTTTCCATAAAGTGTACACACACACATTTTATTTATGCTCTTAATTCCTAGCACGCGTGATCTCCCCCATGGACATTTTTAAAAGTTCCGAGTACAAAGTTTACAAAGTTTTGCCCCTTCAAAAAGACAGAACTATCATTACACGGTTATAAATCTACCTACCTGTATTCTGTACTTACGTATATTGTAGCTATCACCTTACTTTTTTAACTTACCTTTGCAGGTGTGAGACTTCGTGCAGCTTCCCTCAGCTTGATTTACAAGAAGATCCTGAAACTTCGAGGCCTGAAGGATAAGTCTGTTGGGGAGGTATGGCTGAACACAGACCATTTTGTCTGCTGACTTAAGCTTATTGTCTGCTTTTGTTTTGCAATTATATCGGCACACATTTTCAGGTCATATACAGATTTTTTTTGTGAAAATTCTCTCACATCTAAAAATGTAATGGTCATTAAATATCACAGGTAATGTGTTTGATATGTAATGTTCTAAGTTTTACCCCAGTTTTAATACATTTGACAATATAAAAAGTTAAGTAAATGTTTTTTCGCGGCACTATATCACAGATATAATGTATAATGTATGCTGTAGTCTTAGAACCTTAAATGGTGCCTTGGTGGTCGGATGGTGCAGTTGATAGCACACTTGCCTTTCATGAAGGCTGCCAGGATTCGATTCCCGATCAGACATGATAAGGTATGGGGTCACCTGCCCAACCATGTGGGTTTTCTCCCGATACTCCAGTTTCTTCCCGCCGTTCTATGCGCTAACTTCCGGGCCAGCAAGAGTGGTTAATATAAGTTGAAATAACTTGTTTCATAATTGTTGTAAGTGGTAAATAAAGTTTATATAATATTATAAACTTAAGTCTAAAACATGTTAATAATTAAGACTTGTGTTCTTAATAATACAGTTGGTAAACCTGTGCAGTAACGATGGTCAGCGTCTGTTTGAAGCAGCGGCCATTGGTCCTTTGTTGATTGGAGGGCCCATTGTGCTACTGTATGGTGTTGTGTACACTACCTACCTGATTGGGCCCTGGGCGCTAGTAGGCAGCGCCACCTATCTGGCATTTTATCCCTTCATGGTAAGTGATAAAAACAGGTGAAGGTCCATCCAACGCTATCAATTTATGTTTTGTCGTAAGTTATATGGACATGGTGAACGATAAAAAAATAATAAGTTACTGGTTACTTGATTGTGATAAACAGTTGCCATCTTAATATAAAGCTACTGTTGCTTAAGTCAGTTAACTATCCCTGCCTAAAAATAAATGACCCTGACCCCTTTCAAAGGTCAAATATTTTTAAAAACTTTGAACAACTTCTTCAAATGAACTATAATAACTAGAGTATTATTTTTGGCCTGCAGCTTGCTAAAATGAAGGGCTATCAAAATCAATCAGATAAATAACCTTTAAGTTATGACTTTCTCTTTTCTTAAGGTGATATGAGTAAGATGTGTGAAAATATTTTAAACAATTTCTTCTATTGAACCAAGAACAGTAATATTTTACCTATAGATTTTTTTTGTTATATGAAGACAATCCCAATTTTTCAAATAAATTACTTTAGTTCACACTTAAGATAAAGATGATAAAATGTATCAACTTTTCAACCAAATTCTGATAGTGAACTGCAATTCCCATAAAAGTAATGATGAGAGACATAATTATATACCTTGCTATGGTTATAAAGTGTGTTCAAATGAATGACAATGACCAACATTCAAGGTCACAGAAATTATAAAAAAAATCCTCTTAATGACTGGCTTTAACAGATGTAATATCAGGATTTCTAATTATTTTTCAAATTTTGTCATAAACATATTTATTTCCTTGACTTACAAAACTTTTATATAATTGGTGTTGATCATTTTAGGCTTTGATTAGTCGATTGACGGCTTACTACAGAAGGAGAGGAATTGTAATCACCGACAGAAGGGTAAGTGGAAAGTTCTAAACTTTTAATATATTACAGTGTTTTTATGCAAATCAATTTAGCAGTTGTATTTAAGCCAGAATAAACCATAGACTCCTTCCATGTCCTCTGATCGTAAAATAGTCCCAGAGTAAGGAGGCTAGATTTACAAAACATGGAAAAGAATATAGTCCCAGAGTAAGGAGGCTAGATTTACAAAACATGGAAAAGAATATAGTCCTAGAGTAAGGAGGCTAGATTTACAAAACATGGAAAAGAATATAGTCCTAGAGTAAGGAGGCTAGATTTACAAAACATGGAAAAGAATATAGTCCTAGAGTAAGGAGGCTAGATTTACAAAACGTGGAAAAGAATATAGTCCTAGAGTAAGGAGGCTAGATTTACAAAACATGGAAAAGAATATAGTCCCAGAGTAAGGAGGCTAGATTTACAAAACATGGAAAAGAATTACAGCCTTTCTTTGTGATGTTTTTTGGTATCAACAGAAGCTTTCAGTTCCAAAAACTGAAAATGACTTAATTGAAACAGCTTGTTTTAATAACTTCTAGGAATCACGAAAAGAGCTCCTTTTTAAGTTACCTTTTACAATTCAAAATCTGTTTAAGTTATCTTGTGTTTTAATTGGATATAAGTTATCTTGTGTTTTAATTGGATATAAGTTATCTTGTGTTTTAATTGGATATAAGTTATCTTGTGTTTTAATTGGATACTTTTCATTCTGTCTGAATTAGTAAGATGAACTTCAGTTCATTTATATTGTGAATTGTATCAACTCACAGGTACGAATGATGTCGGAGCTGCTTACCTGTATAAAACTAATCAAAATGTACGCCTGGGAAGTGCCGTTCAGCAAAAAGATTTCAGGTATATTGTAACTTAGTAATAATCAGCAGAATTGAAGTTCATTTTACATGACTGTATAAGCACCTGGCCCAACTGACCAGGGGCACAAATTGAAACTGAGGTACAGAGGTGAAGCTGGAGATGAAGGGGGAGGTGGGAGGGGTACAAAGCTATATAGAAGCTGTAGAATTTAAACATGACAGGGCCAGAAAAGAAAGGGTCATTCAGCTGCAGAAAGATACCTGAAAAATACATACTCTGCATATGATCTATCACTGTAATATAAGCTGGTTATTTTTGAATTTTTAAATCTTTACAGATTTTACTCAAAATGAGGAATTTCAATTTACGTGGATTAAAATTTTAAAAGTTTTTGTGTAAGCAGTTGACCAAAGTCCACATGAACATGTATTATTGCAAACTACTGAACTTATTAAAATGTTTTTACAGTGATGTTTGCTATTCGTTGTGTAGGTATTCGTTCAGAAGAGAGGGCTATCTTGGAGAAGGCTGCAGTGGTCCAGGGCATTAGTACCTCCGCTGCTCCCATGGTGCCAGTCATGGCATCTGTGTTTGTCATTCTTGCGCATGTTCTTACAGGAAACGATATCACCCCTGCACAGGTAGGTACAAACACCTGTCAAATAAAGATAAATAAATGTCAGTAAAATTTCTGTTATAAACCATAACTATGAAGAGTCGAAAGGGAAACATACCTTTTTACAAATTCCATAGAAAACTACTCTTTGTAGAAATTATTCAAGATCACTGGAAAAGCAATTCAGTCTCAATGTATATCATGTCCATTTTGAATCTGAAGAAGGGCAGGAGCAAGAAAATTTTCTACAAGAGAAATATTCTACGGAATTTGTCTTCGGCACTTTCTAAAGTTGTAGTTTCTTCATAATATTGAAATTTGATATATGAGGTTTGATTGACGTATTTAGGAATGGTGCAACACGCACATTTTAATTAGATACCTCTTTAATGTTTTGTACTGATTTGTAACTTTCTCTGCCGGTCTAGTCATTATTTTAGAATGAATTGTTTCACAATGCTCAAAACTTGGTACACAAATAGGTTGGTTGACCAGGGTAGAGGGACAACCCTATTGATCATGGTGTTGTCCGTCAACGTTCAACCTCATTGTTACTGAAAACAAATCATCATTGAATGGAATGAATGATAGAACCAAGCTCAAAATTGGGATATGGGTTGCCTTAAGAAAGATAATTATATAAAGAATCCTTATGGTTTACCTTTTTACATGGTTTGTCAAAGGTCAAGGTCATTTTCTAAAAATAGAATTATTTCATTTTCGATACAAACTTAAGACCAAATAATCACAAACATTTTGTATGTATTTGGCAATTGCTAGAAGACAGGAAGAATCCCTGTCATTTTGGGTGTGGTTCCTTAAAGGTCAAGGTCACTGTTGCTATAAATATGACATATATATGTAACTTTGAGGTAATAAGCTGCAATTGTAAATTCAATAGCAAACATTTAATATGCCGCTTCCTCCTAATAAAAATCATTGATTTATCAATACAGCTGTTGCTTAATATTTCAATCAAGGAGACATGCTGCCCTTGACAGCTCTGTCATTATGTCCTCACAAAAGGTAGGGGCGTTTACTGAAATCTAGGGTTCCATCTGTGATTGGCAGTTTGTCTGACACCATGCTGCTTATGTATACCCTATCAAACAATTCAATTGTACAAATTATCAGTACCTTTAACAAAAATCTCCTGTAGAATTTTTTAGATAGAAATCCATCATATTTGGTGGCTAACACCATCAGATGATAATGAATAAAAAATGTAGAATTAGAGGGGTCAACCCAACCCCTCAGGGGCCAAGGGTGCTGAGGGGTGGGGGTAAACATTGGTATTCACTTTACTGTACATGAGGAGAATTTAACACACAGTTGTAATGCTACCAGAATAACATGGTGTGGCCCAACACCTTGGTACTTAGTTCCAGTGTTATAATATGGAAACGGTTGCGATGCCCATTTTATAATCTAGATGCAATTGCTGTGCATGAAGAGATGAATATAATAAGCTATCAGGATTAGCCCTAAGGTCAGTCCTTCATCACAAGTCTTAACTCGGATAATGTAGAGATCCCCTACCTATACCATGTCTGAACCTTGCTGAGCTTGAAGAGACAAACATATTCATGCTATCATCATATAGCCCTGGAGTCTGGCCCCAACCCAGGAGATCAATTTGTAAGACCGTAAAAGTGGAAATTATTGCAGGATGGATATACTTTGGCTTTTTCTGTTAAGTAATTATATAAATTTGACTGGAAAACATCCATATGCAATATATATAGATATATACATTATGTATAATATATTATATATCAAATTTTGGAACCATTGCCCACATGAACGTTTTCACGTACACCACATTCTATTTGAAGAGTCACAATGTGAACATTTCCCCCAAAAGAGAGTTTCCACTTTTACTGTACATCATGTCACTTTTAATCAGATTTTTTGCCATGATTACTAATACATTCAGAAAAGCGATACAGGCCCTGTATGCCTCATGTTTCATTCTCCATAAAAAACTAAACAGATCTTTTTCAGGCATTTACCCTTGTAGCAGTATTAAATGCTATGAGGTTTTCCCTCGGAGTTATCCCTTATGCTGTACGAGCGCTGGCCGATTCCCAAGTATCATTTAAACGTTGTAAGGTAAAACACTTGTGGCTGTAGGATAAACATGGCTTGTAGCATAGTACTAACGCTGGTGTTGTATTGTTACTGCTGTTCAGGTTATCTGACACTGGTTTTGTGCAGTTGCCGCTAATCTCTTTCACATTGTAGTATTACAATATATAGCATGCTTTGTATCTGTGAATTATCTCCCTTTCTCTCATGCAGCCATCTCTTTCTCCTACTAATGTTCTATAAATGCTCTGTGCAGTGTAAGGACTTTTCGCTATCATTTTATTATCTCACTTAATTTCTGTGCTGAAATCTGAATGTTACAATGTATTACAACCACACATCACAAGTGATAGGTGTGTTATCACACTTTATGGTTTGATTTGGATGAATGGAACCTTAGTTCTCACTGATATTCGTCCCCTTCGAGTAGATTTTCCATATCCCCTTTACCTACATATGACGGCTTCAGTTTATTTGCATACATATGAGTATGCAAGATACATATAACCCATTTCGAATGCCCATGTAGAATAACTTAAATCCACGTTAAGGTGCAACAGACAGGTGACCCCTTCTTCAGGAAATAATGGTAACACCACAATGGCGTATATATTAGGATACACTGTCATTTCAGATCTCCCGAATGTTACTGCTTTTATTTCATAAATCTTATCTCATCCTAGCAACGTTCAGAAAAATGGTTGTGGTTTATTGGGTTTAGCCACCTATTAACAGCAAAGGTTATTTCAGATGTGTGTAATATATGTGTGTATGTGTTGGAGGCAGTGGTTGGTGTACTCCTTGTGGTAGCGTGGATCTGATTCCTTACTTCGGAGTACTACCTCTCTAAAATACCATGCTGAAGGCACCTACAAGTATTTCACCTTCAGGTCACATTATACTGACAGAGGGTGAACCAAATTCAGGAAAAGAAAGCTTATATGCTGTGTATTATATTAAGTAAAGGGCAGTGACAATGTGGTTTGAAATTTCAATGGTACCGGTAGATCAGGTGGACAGTCAGATCCTGTGGGATAGGATATCATATTTTCAACAAAGTAGAAATATGACTGATTCTTAATGCAACTCGCAAATATAAATTAAGTCAGACCAAGGAATTTTTATTTCTTTTAGTTTAGGTTCATTCTCTCAGTCATTTCTCCCTCTGCCTAATTACTGTGACTTTTCTTTCATTCTCTCAGTCATTTCTCCCTCTACCTAATTACTGCGTCTTTTCCTTCATTCTCTTGTGTATTCATTAACACAAAATTTCTTTGTGATGAATTTTAGCGTTCTTGCTGCAGCTGCTGAATTTTACAACTGTATGCATATTCCTCTCAGTTAAAGATTGGTTCCTGTCGCTATTTTCTCAATAAATTTTAGGCATTCGTCTTGGTTGCCATCAACAACTCCTTGAAGCGTACGATTGGTCAAATACCCAAACTAGTGAAAACATACACGGATGTAAAAGTGTCAGGGGAGAGAATTAAGGTCAGGCCAACTACTTCTTATATCAATGTGCTACACTTCCAGTACAAGACATATCAACAATATCAGCCTGTGTATTGGTTATGCTGCATGGTTTGTTGCCTGTATTTAATGGTGACCTGTAACCTCTGTTAAATTCTCCGGTGTTTGTGTGTCTTTCCTGTTCTGTAATATGTTACAGTACCTCATCAATATTTGTCCTCCCCCTTGCCCCCTACTGCAACCCTATCCTTTCTCCTCCTCTGTCACACCCCCACCCCATCTTCTCCTCTTCTGCACCCCCACCCCCATCTTCTCCTCTTCTGCACCCCACTCCATCTTCTCTTCTTCTGCACCCCATCCACCATCTTCTCCTCTTCCTCCCCTTTTCCTTTCTGTTATGCCGCCTCCTCTTCCCCCCCTCTCTGCTACGCCGCTTCCTCTTTCTTCCCTCTTTCTCTTTGTTATGCCGCTTCCTCTTCCTCCTCTGTTCCTTTCTGTTATGCCGCCTCCTCTTCCTCCCCTCTCTGCTATGCCACTTCCTCTTCCTCCCCTCTTCCTTTCTATTATGCTGCTTCCTCTTTCTTCTCTTCCTCCTCTGTCCTCTCTGCTACTCTGCCTCCTCTTCCTCCCCTCTTCCTCTTTGTTATGCCGTTTCCTCTTCCTTCTCTCTTCCTCTCTGCTACGCTGCCTCCTCTTCCTCCCCTCTCCCTCTTTGTTATGCCGCTTCCTCTTCCTTATCTCTTCCTCTTTGTTATGCCGTTTCCTCTTCCTTCTCTCTTCCTCTCTGCTACGCTGCCTCCTCTTCCTCCCCTCTTCCTCTTTGTTATGCCGCTTCCTCTTCCTTCTCTCTTCCTCTCTGCTATGCTGCCTCCTCTTCCTCCTCCACCAACATTGTATACTGGAAAACATTCGCTTCAGTTTAACTTTCGCCATTTTACGCCCTTCCAGTTAATGGAGACCAGTTCCTCATGACAGCAAATGTTAGTGTACTACATATATAGGAACAAAACTGTCAATCCTCCCTCATTAGGACAGAATCTACCTCATTTCCACTAACATTTCCCAATCTCCCTAGAAACTCCTTCATTCAAGTCCAAACTCAAACAAACTCAAAATCAACATCCTGTGTTACATCCACATCTCCTAGTTACGTCAGGGTGTCTGCAATAATGATGTGCCTAACAGGTGTGTCTGAATCAGATAGATGTTTTTTTGAGTTATTTTGATATATAATGAGGGAGAGATACATTTAGCAAAGCAGTTTCAGGCACATTTCACGCAATTTCTCTCTCATTGGTAGTATGGAATGAGGGAGATCTCCCTCATTGGAAGTTTCAAAGGTTGACACCTATATACAATGTAGTAAGTTTATGTGAATAAGTGACATTTACACTAGGTGAATACTTTCACAGTTTAGGACGATTATTTGACTGGGCGAAAGTTTTCCTGTGAACAGAAATTATTCCTTTTGTTGGGGTGAATTTCTCCTACATTATGTCCTGCATTTGAACTTATGAACCTATTTCGAGGTCCATAACAGTTTGTATGTACATGTATACAGTTAGATGATTGGATCTGTTAAAGTTGCTAGGCCTGTACTGGAGGATTAAGTAAACAACTGACGGTACGTTATAGTTAGTAGATACTCTGTTCAGGCGTTCACATGGGTATCAGTGACAGACTCCACCAAACCTGCCGTGGAATTCCTCACTCAAATGGTTCAGGCATTTTCCGTCTTCAAAGTTAGTGTAAGGCGTATACAGGTAAGACCATCCTCGATACTCCAGGGGTTACACTCAGTTTTGCTCTCTGCACCCCTGGAATATGTCATAGCAAAATTGAAGGAACACGGCTAACTATTTGATTGGTCTTGGGTAAAAAATCCCCGACCAATCGTTAGGCTTATATCTGTTCTTTGAAGATTAAAAAGGAGCCAGTCAATTTTACGATACACGAACGACAGATTCTAATCTTCTCGTCTCATCCACAAGGTGGTTCACACTGAGCCTTCAATTTTGCTATGACCTATTCCAGGGGTGCAGAGAGCAAAACTCACAGCATAACCCCTGGAGTTTCTAGGAATAGGTAAAACATACTGAACTACATCACAGTGTACATTTTTTTCTCCCACATTTCAGATGTGCATTAATGTTTTATGCTAGGGAATAAATAAAATGTCTTTTTCTACCTGGGGAAAGACAGCTCGCTAGTGCTTTAATTCTGAAAACGTCACCCTTGCCTCATCAGTTTATGCACCATAACCAAGGACATGTCATCAAATTTGTCACACATGTACATTTCATGCGTTTTTGGACGAAGGTTCAGTATACAATGGGTTCACCATTACAACAAATCTTTATGATTGGAAAGAGTTACCTTTCATGGTCCATTGACTTTGACAGCATCTCCATCAACATTATGTTTTTGCATTTGAATTAGTTTCTCTGAAACTTTAGGTGCTAGTCTACCAACCAAACTTGACATGTGCATTGATGGTCAAAGCGGGGCACAGGGGAGACATATCAATTAGAATGGCTTATTCGTAAGTGGCAGCACATAACCACCTATAGCTGTAAGAAAAAATAAATATTGTTGCCTTCAATGGTTTGGAGTGATATTAACTCATTCACCCCTGAAATTTCATAAAGAACTATTTAATCCTTTGAATTGGACGAGTTCAAATGTGTCTTCAGGGGTGAATGAGTTATAACAGTTGAACTGTACCGCCTTCAACAAAATATTTGGGGGAATCAGGGTATCTGTCTGTCCATCTTTATGTATAGATACTGTAGACGTTTTTAATCCAGTGTATAGCAGTTACATTTCTCCATAAATTATTTTTTATAATTACATTGTAGTAAACACTTACAATGCACCTTAGATAGTTGTACACTTGGGGTTTACATTCTATGTCAACGATAGCCTTATGATCATGAGTTATGTCCCTTTTCTGATCTCCTTGCACATATATATATATATTTGATCAGCCAAAATCTATATATATATGGTAAGCTACATACCACATATATTCAGTTTCATACTTGTAACTATATATATATATATATGGTAGGCTAGCTACATAACCACATATATTCAGTTTCATACTTGTAACTATATATATATATGGTAGGCTAGCTACATAACCACATATATTCAGTNACAACAGATCAATCGTTAAGCTTATATCTGTTCTTTGAAGATTAAAAAGGAGCGACATCCGACTTCAAAGCCAGTCAATTTTACGATACACGAATGACAGATTCTGATCTTCTCGTCTCATCCACAAGGTGGTGCACACTGAGCCTTCAATTTTGCTATGACATATTGTAGGGGTGCAGAGAGGAAAACTGAGCATAACCCCTGTAGTTTCTATGAATAGGTAAAACTTGCTTAACTACATCACAGTAAACATTTTTTTCTCCCATTTTTCAGATGTGCATTAATGTTTTATGCTAGGGAATAAATAAAATGTCTTTTTCTACCTGGGGAAAGACAGCTCGCTAGTGCTTTAATTCTGAAAACGTCACCCTTGCCTCATCAGTTTATGCACCATAACCAAGGACATGTCATCAAATTTGTCACACATGTACATTTGATGCGTTTTTGGACGAAGGTTCAGTATATAATGGGTTCACCAGTACAACAAATCTTTATGATTGGAAAGAGTTGGAAAAAAGGAATCAGTCATTCCTGTATGATGTAGAAAGAGAAATCTCAACCCTCGTGATAAAATTTCTGAAGTCTAGCACTCAGCAAAGCCTTAGTGTGCAAAATTTCATATATCTTACCCGAGGGTTGTTTTCAAATATATTACCCAAGGGTTGATTTCAAATATCTTACCTGAGGGATGATTACAAACATCTAACCTGAGGGTTGATTTTAAATATGTTACCTGAGGGTTGATTTCAAATATCTTGCCCGAGAGTTGATTTCAAACATATTACCTGAGGGCTGAACTCAAATATCTTACCCGAGGGTTGAGAGTTCTCTGCTGCATATATAAGTGATAGATTTCATTAATTAGTACACAGCCACTTATACTCCTTGTTTATTTATAAACATGCAGCCTTTATTAACATCATTAGGTATAAATAATCCTACATTCATCGTGCAATGTTAAAATCAAATTCTGAAGAAAAAAAGTAAACATTACACAGAAATGTATTGCATACACAAATATTAGACACAAATGCCGTTAACATGTAGCAAGTGGGAAAAGTGGGGGGTTGTCTGACAAATTTGTCGCCTCCTTGATGTTCAAGAATTGCAGTTCAAGCAAGTCAGTCAAAAGAATAAACCATATATCCCATGCCTGGTTCTACGACCATTCCAGTAACACATAACTATTGATTTGTCATTGAAAATGTCATTAAAAAAACATCCTATACAAGTGTCATACTAAAAATGTTATATACAAATGTCATACTAAAATGTTTTATATAAATAAATGTTCCTTACCCATGCTTAACCTCTCAACTGTACACTGTCAGTCTATATATGTTCCTTACCCATGCTTAACCTCTCAACTGTACACTGCCAGTCTATATATGTTCCTTACCCATGCTTAACCTCTCAACTTAACACTGTCAGTCTATATATGTTCCTTACCCATGCTTAACCTCTCAACTGTACATTGCCAGTCTATATATGTTTCTTACCCATGCTTAACCTCTCAACTGTACACTGCCAGTCTACATATGTTCCTTACCCATGCTTAACCTCTCAAGTTGTTGCTTTTTACTGCATAGCTTTTGTAATTGTTCCAGCTTATTTTATGATATAAATGGTTATCATTACTGCTTATTGTTTATCTTGTTACCTAATGTAATTATGGGAGTTATGTCCCTTTAATGAAGATGTTACAAAAGCTTGTCTGGAGAACTTCACTGGCAGTTCTGATCTGAATTTTGGAAAACTGCACAAAGATGATCACCTTATTCTGAAATTGTGTATCTGCATTAATAATGTTTTTGATCCAGGTATTTTTATTGGAGTTGTGCCCCTTTTTCAAAACTTTTAAGCCACATTTTGTTCATTCCGATACATACATGTACAATTGTACAGTGCATATATATTATATGTTATATATAAACTCATTCACCCCTGAACTTTCATAATGAACTATTCCTATATATCTATAAATTGGAAGAGTTCACATGTGTCTTCAGGGGTGGATGAGTTAATACTCTTTTAACAGACTTTTGTGAAAATCATTTGCTGTATAATTATCATCATCACTTAATTGTTACAAATGAACATTGTGATTATATTGATTTCGACAATTCTTAAGGGGGAGTGGGATGGATTATAGTATACCTAAGCTTTAAATTGCTTGCTAGTTGTATAATGTAACTTGTTATTTTAAATGTGAACAGTGTGTTATAATAATTTTGTTGTTTCTAAATATTATCTATCTTATAATTGTTTTCCAAATGTACAAAATAGCATTCCTGAATTTGAGCATGAACTACAATATACCCTATTAGGGTAGTTTCTATATCATTAATACAACTGGACTAACATTTTTCACATATTTCTTACGTTATCACATTCTGACATTTATACAATTGTCCCGTTATTAGAAATTCTATAGATTTTATATCGATTCATATAACATCTAGTGATTGTTTCCTGTTCAAGTTTTTTTTAATAAGAATGAATGTGATATATATCGTTCAGCAATAATTTTCTTATGGAAGAAAGGCTATCTACTAGAGTAAGCCTTGTCCTAGCAATATAAATTCATTGATTGACATTTTAACCTTGTGTATTAAGTATAACCTTTAACATTGAGCATAAATTTTTGACCTTGTATTTTTATTATAACCTTTGACCTTGTAAAGTTTAATGAGTATAACCTTTGACCTTGTATATTGATTATAACCTTTGACCTTGTATATTGATTATAACCTTTGACCTTGCAGAGTGTATTGCTGATGGAGGATATCAAGCCCCATGTATCACAGATCACCAACCCAAACCACGTAATAGTGCTGAAGAATGCCAGTTTTGGCTGGGACGCTACAGGCAGCAGTAAAGACGGGAGCAGCAGTAAAGATGGGAGCAGCACAAAACCTCAACGTAAGTAAACATGCAGCACCCAGCAGGTTGTTAACTTATTCAATCCCAAATACATATTTGAACTCTCCCAATTCAAAGGTTGGAATTTCATTATGAAATTTCAGGGGTGAATGAGTTAAAGAAAAAGAATTAAATCAGAATAAGTTATTCTAAGGTTTGAGATATTTTATTTCCTCAACATTGTGATATTGATACGCCTTTACATATTACACTCATTTCGAAGTGAGATAATGTGATGCATGTACTTGATGGGGGTTAGGGTTGAATGGTCCTCGGTTCACCCCTCTGACCAATATGTAGTCCTTATGTAGGGGGGTTTGTATTTTTTTTATTACAGGTACACATCACTTGTTCAATAAGGTGATGACAAAATTATTGATGCTTCAATATATGTGTTATTAATTTCATATTTCTTTAATATTACCTATGTGTTTGCTGAATGACTTCCCTCTCCTGAATTTTCGATTAATATTGTATGTTTCCATTAACTTTATTCAAACTCAGCAGCTCTCTAAAAGCTATAAATTGTAGAAAAGATCTGAGAGAAAAATAAGTATACTGTGGTTTGCCGGGTTTGAGTGTATATTTGTAGCATAGAATTTTGAGACACTGCTGGTATAAAATTGAGGAATTGACTCCCCCGACAAAGTTGCAAAAATGACAACTCATATACACATGCTCACAAAAATGTATTAACTAGTTTTGTTTAATATTTTCTTGTACCAGTGGCTAATGGTAAATCCAAAGATAGCAAGATGGAAGAGAAGCAAAGACTTCAAGACAGTGAAGAGGTGGCCGAAACAGATCCTGATGTTGTACAGACCCTGGTGAATATGGATTTCATCCTAGAGAAGGTAATTATAGACCCTAGTATATCAGGACATGGTACTAGGGAAGGTATTTATAGACCCTAGTATATCAGGACATTGTACTAGGGAAGGTATTTATAGACCCTAGTTTATCAGGACATGGTACTAGGGAAGGTATTTATAGACCCTAGTATATCAGGACATGGTACTAGGGAAGGTATTTATAGACCCTAGTATATCAGGACATGGTACTAGGGAAGGTATTTATAGACCCTAGTATATCAGGACATGGTACTAGGGAAGGTATTTATAGACCCTAGTATATCAGGACATGGTACTAGGGAAGGTATTTATAGACCCTAGTATATCAGGACATGGTACTAGGGAAGGTATTTATAGACCCTAGTATATCAGGACATGGTACTAGGGAAGGTATTTATAGACCCTAGTATATCAGGACATGGTACTAGGGAAGGTATTTATAGACCCTAGTATATCAGGACATGGTACTAGGGAAGGTATTTATAGACCCTAGTATATCAGGACATGGTACTAGGGAAGGTATTTATAGACCCTAGTATATCAGGACATGGTACTAGGGAAGGTATTTATAGACCCTAGTATATCAGGACATGGTACTAGGGAAGGTATTTATAGACCCTAGTATATCAGGACATGGTACTAGGGAAGGTATTTATAGACCCTAGTATATCAGGACATGGTACTAGGGAAGGTATTTATAGACCCTAGTATATCAGGACATGGTACTAGGGAAGGTATTTATAGACCCTAGTATATCAGGACATGGTACTAGGGAAGGTATTTATAGACCCTAGTATATCAGGACATGGTACTAGGGAAGGTATTTATAGACCCTAGTATATCAGGACATGGTACTAGGGAAGGTATTTATAGACCCTAGTATATCAGGACATGGTACTAGGGAAGGTATTTATAGACCCTAGTATATCAGGACATGGTACTAGGGAAGGTATTTATAGACCCTAGTATATCAGGACATGGTACTAGGGAAGGTATTTATAGACCCTAGTATATCAGGACATGGTACTAGGGAAGGTATTTATAGACCCTAGTATATCAGGACATGGTACTAGGGAAGGTATTTATAGACCCTAGTATATCAGGACATGGTACTAGGGAAGGTATTTATAGACCCTAGTATATCAGGACATGGTACTAGGGAAGGTATTTATAGACCCTAGTATATCAGGACATGGTACTAGGGAAGGTATTTATAGACCCTAGTATATCAGGACATGGTACTAGGGAAGGTATTTATAGACCCTAGTATATCAGGACATGGTACTAGGGAAGGTATTTATAGACCCTAGTATATCAGGACATGGTACTAGGGAAGGTATTTATAGACCCTAGTATATCAGGACATGGTACTAGGGAAGGTATTTATAGACCCTAGTATATCAGGACATGGTACTAGGGAAGGTATTTATAGACCCTAGTATATCAGGACATGGTACTAGGGAAGGTATTTATAGACCCTAGTATATCAGGACATGGTACTAGGGAAGGTATTTATAGACCCTAGTATATCAGGACATGGTACTAGGGAAGGTATTTATAGACCCTAGTATATCAGGACATGGTACTAGGGAAGGTATTTATAGACCCTAGTATATCAGGACATGGTACTAGGGAAGGTATTTATAGACCCTAGTATATCAGGACATGGTACTAGGGAAGGTATTTATAGACCCTAGTATATCAGGACATGGTACTAGGGAAGGTATTTATAGACCCTAGTATATCAGGACATGGTACTAGGGAAGGTATTTATAGACCCTAGTATATCAGGACATGGTACTAGGGAAGGTATTTATAGACCCTAGTATATCAGGACATGGTACTAGGGAAGGTATTTATAGACCCTAGTATATCAGGACATGGTACTAGGGAAGGTATTTATAGACCCTAGTATATCAGGACATGGTACTAGGGAAGGTATTTATAGACCCTAGTATATCAGGACATGGTACTAGGGAAGGTATTTATAGACCCTAGTATATCAGGACATGGTACTAGGGAAGGTATTTATAGACCCTAGTATATCAGGACATGGTACTAGGGAAGGTATTTATAGACCCTAGTATATCAGGACATGGTACTAGGGAAGGTATTTATAGACCCTAGTATATCAGGACATGGTACTAGGGAAGGTATTTATAGACCCTAGTATATCAGGACATGGTACTAGGGAAGGTATTTATAGACCCTAGTATATCAGGACATGGTACTAGGGAAGGTATTTATAGACCCTAGTATATCAGGACATGGTACTAGGGAAGGTATTTATAGACCCTAGTATATCAGGACATGGTACTAGGGAAGGTATTTATAGACCCTAGTATATCAGGACATGGTACTAGGGAAGGTATTTATAGACCCTAGTATATCAGGACATGGTACTAGGGAAGGTATTTATAGACCCTAGTATATCAGGACATGGTACTAGGGAAGGTATTTATAGACCCTAGTATATCAGGACACGGTACTAGGGTAGGTATTTCTAGACCCTAGTATATCAGGACACGGTACTAGGGAAGGTATTTATAGACCCTAGTATATCAGGACACGGTACTAGGGTAGGTATTTCTAGACCCTAGTATATCAGGACACGGTACTAGGGAAGGTATTTATAGACCCTAGTATATCAGGACATGGTACTAGGGAAGGTGAGGACAGACTGCTGTATATACAGTTGTAAGATCGCATAACGTTACACATGATGTGCAGTGTGTGCACGATGTGCAAACAATAAAAATCTGAACGATAACTGCTTGCGCACATTTGTGCGGACGATTGACAAACATTGATCGATGACCATCTTGGTTGGTGTGAAATGAAGAATGAGTTAACAATATATACGGTTTCATGTTTAAACATATAAAATTGATTTTTTAGTATATTTCTATATTCTAGCTACATACATAAGTTGAACTTTCTATCTATATTTTTAGGTCACCTGAGCTTTAGCTCAAGTGACCTATTGCTATCCGTCTTCGTCCGTCGATGGCCGTAGTCCGACGTCCGTCGTCCGTCGTGCGTCGTCCATTAACATTTTACATTTTCAACTTAAGCTGAAATCCTGGCAAAGGGATTTCATTAATATTTCATGGGAACGTTACTGACATCTCCCTGACCAAGTGTTGTTATTTTTTGGGTCGATCAGAAATCCAATATGGCCGCCACGGCCGCCATTTTGAAAAACTATTTCAAACTTAAAGTCAAGTTCTGCTGGGTCGATTGAACTGAAACTTGGTAGGAATGATCGACTCATGGTCCTGACAAAGTTTTGTTATTTTTAGGGTCGATTAGAAATCCAATATTGCCGCCACGGCCGCCATTTTGAAAAACTATTTTAAACTTAAAGTCAAGTTCTGCTGGGCCGATTGAACTGAAACTTGGTAGGAATGATCGACTCATGGTCCTGACAAAGTGTTGTTATCTTTCGGGTCAATCAGAAATCCAATATGGCTGCCACGGCCGCCATTTTGAAAAACTATTTCAGCCTTAAAGTCAAGTTCTGCTGGGCCAATTGAACTGAAACTTTGTAGGAAAGATCGACTCATGGTCCTGACAAAGTGTTTTTATCTTTCGGGTCAATCAGAAATCCAATAGGGCTGCCACGGCCGCCATTTTGAAAAACTATTTCAAACGTACAGTCAAGTTCTGCTAGGCCGATTGAACTGAAACTTTGTAGGAATGATCGACTCATGGTCCTGTCAAAGTGTTGTTATTTTTCGGTTCTATCAGAAATCAATATGGCTGCCACGGCCGCCATTTTGAAAAACTATTTCAAACTTACAGTCAAGTTCTGCTAGGCCAATTGAACTGAAACTTTGTAGGAATGAACGACTCATGGTCCTGACAAAGTTCTGTAATTTTTCAGGTCGAACTGAAACACAATTTTGCTGCCATGGCCGCTATTTTGAAAATACCTATTTCAAAATTCTAATAGGCCGATCTAACTGAAAATCGGTCTAGGAATGATCAGCTTATGGTCCTGACAAACTTAAGTTAACATTATACTTAACAATTTTTTACTCAAATTGGTACATATTTCAACAACAAAAATAAATACTGTAGGACTTAGGTGACTGTTAAGGCCCATTGGCCTCTTGTTAAATTTAGAAATGGTGTTTTCGTTTTTTTTTGAAACGATTCAAATTGACACAGGTAAAATTATAACATATATGCCGGTGTGTGCATGATGTATGCACGATGTGAGCATGCTATTTTTGGTATGTTGTGCTGTCACACAACCGTATATTAAAAGGCTTTTTTTTTTATCAGAGAAGTAAATCTCTTGGAAAATACGGACTAGACATTTAAAATATTTGTGCTAATTTTTAAAAATTTGCCTCAAGTACAAAGCAAACATTGAAATGAACTTGAAAAAAAAGTATTTTTAGTATTTTTACATGTGATAATGAACAAAACCACCATATTGAATTAAATTTCAATAAGCATATATATATTGTTTTTGTTTTGACAGGGAAAGCTAATTGGAGTGTGTGGAAGTGTTGGGTGCGGGAAGAGCTCCCTTATATCGGCTGTAATGGGACGGGTAAGTTACAGGAAGTTATACAGATAACATGATGTTGATTTACTCAATATGTCACTGCCTTGATCTGATTACCTTATAAGCTGTTTATAAGACATTAAATCTCATAAAACCAAACCATAGACTTTGAGGCTATAGTTATAGATGCAGGTTGAAAATTTGACCATTGTATCTGTCCTTTAACAGGTCATCAGTGCTCTTAAAAATATTGATGAGTAAGTAGAGTAAAGTGAAGGTCATGTCAAGGTCATTGTGGTGATACCTTGTAACTTGAAGGTCAATCACAGAATATCAGACTTGGTTTGCTTCCGTCTTGATTTCCACTTACAGAGAAAACCTGGTTAGTTTCATATTTAATCCACGATTGTTTTTGTCAGATGGTGCTGTTGTCGGGAAAAGTCGCAGTGAAGGGTAGTGTGGCGTATGTGGCACAGCAGGCGTGGATCACAAACTCAACAGCACGGGAAAATATACTGTTTGGTCAGGTTTATGATGAAGAGAAGTAAGTTCTATAATTTCTTTATAAACCAGACTCTCCTTTGCTCTACTTTTACTTCATGAACAATATCTTTCTTTGAGATTATATAGGCAGGTTGGTCGAGTGGTGAACACTCCGGCCTTCCATGCAGGTGGCTGGGGTTCGATCCCTGAAGTTGTTGTATGCATGGAAAATTCAGAGAAAGTGTTATTCTCCTGCCCTCACAACTCTAAAACCCAGGTGGAGTATAAAATGGTCTGGGGTGGATGTTTCGGTATCTGTGCTGTTGCATTCAAGTGAGGTGGTACTATAAATGATACTGTTGGAAGCACGGTCCCACTTCAAACTGAACACAATATATCTCCAGCACACACACAGGCATACACACATTGGGAGATATTAGCCAAGTGGCATAGGACTATGAGCACATGATAAGGCAGCTCCTGCTAATTCCTCAAAAATTGTATTGATTAATTTATATGCTAATTGTATCGATTGCATATCTTTGGCTCTCCAGCCCGATGCTCTACAGCTGAGCTAAAGGGAAATTCCCTACACCTGACACTTGTAAGGAAACCTAATTATTGCCCATCTTTTACACTATTCCCCCCTTTTTTCAATCACCAACCTAGGTTCTTTGACTCCCCGCCAAGAGTTCTCCTACCTTGAACGGGGAGGGTCAACGTCACCAGTTTGTAGTAGGACGAGGAATAGTGATAAAGATAGTGCCGTCGCATGGGCTCGAACCCATGACCCTTAAATTGGCTTTCCAGTCCAATGCTCTACTGCTGAGCGAAAGGGAAATTCCCTTCAGCTGAAGCTTGTGAGGCAACCTAAATAATGCACATCTTTTACAGAAATATTGCCTCCATGTTTGTATGATGGACTGTCATTGTACCTGGTATTACCCTATAGTATTAAATCTGTATAGATCTAGCACAATGTTACGTTGTAGATACAAAGCAGTGATCCATGCATGCTCCCTCGAGGAAGATTTTAAAGACTTTGTGGATGGAGATCAAACTGAGGTATGGTGGCCAACTTGTTTTGTCTTGTAACCAAAGTTGACCCTATAACAGTATTGTCTGTCTAGTTCTGTTCCCTGTCGATATCTTCTTGGATATTTGGTCCATAATCTTGAAAATTATCGTGTAAAAATAGAGAGAAAAGACTGATTCAAAGCCCGGAACTCTAGAAGGACACTCCAACCAATTGAGCTACCTGGTCACTCGTGGTCAGACAGGTTATACATTAACATGAACTGAATGTGTTCAATTTTGAGTTCACCTGTTAAAAAAAGTGACATTATGTCTTAACAATCCAACAATTCATTGCCAAGTTTTCCTTTAAAAATTTAGAGTCCAGAAGATTAGGTACTGAAATATATAATTTCATATTTGTGTAATTTTGAGTGTTAATATCATACATTGGCAAATTCAACACTGTATAGGCAAATTTGGATAGATGGCGAATCTGAAGAGGGGGAATTTTTTCGGTGTTTACAAGTTGCCCTGACAAACCAGATCTTTTCAAGTCCAGAAATGGGAAACAAATTAAATGTTTTGTTTAAAAGATATAAAACTAAGAAAAAGCTGGTTTCAAAAATAAATTGTGTTTGTAGATTGGCGAGCGCGGAATCAACATGAGCGGTGGCCAGAAGCAGAGGATCAGTCTGGCTCGGGCCGTGTACGCAGACAAGGATGTTTATCTTCTTGATGATCCTCTCTCTGCTGTCGACATCCACGTTGGGCGTCACATCTTCAAAGAGTGTCTTACCAAGTGTATCAAGGGAAAGACAATACTGTTTGTCACTCATCAGCTACAGGTAAGTCCTGTTTGTCACCTATCAGTTACAGGTCAGTACCGTTTTTCACACAGGTAAATGTTATTTGTCACTAATCAGCTACAGGTAAGTACTGTTTGTCACCAATGAGCTACAGGTAAGTACCGTTTGTCACCAATCAGCTACAGGTAAGTCCCGTTTGTCACCAATCAGCTACAGGTAAGGACTGTTTGTCACCAATCAGCTACAGGTAAATACTGTTTGTCACCAATCAGCTACAGGTAAATACTGTTTGTCACCAATCAGCTACAGGGAAGTACTGTTTGTCACCAATCAGCTACATGTAAGTACTGTTTGTCACCAATCAGCTACAGGTAAGTACTGTTTATCACCAATCAGCTACAGGTAAGTACTGTTTATCACCAATCAGCTACAGGTAAGTACCATTTGTCACCAATCAGCTACAGGGAAGTACTGTTTGTCACCAATCAGCTACAGGTAAGTACCGTTTGTCACCAATCAGCTACAGGTAAATACCATTTGTCACCAATCAGCTACAGGTAAGTACCGTTTGTCACCAATCAGCTACATGTATTAAATACTGTTGTCACTAATCAGCTACGGGTAAGTCCTGTTAATGGCACACAGGTAAGTATTGTTTGTCACCAATCAGTACTTACCTGTAGCTCATTTGTGACAAACGGTTCCTACCTGTAGCTGATTGGGGATAAACGGTACTTACCTGTAGCTTATTGGTGACAAACAGTACTTCCCTGTAGCTGATTGGTGATTAACGGTACTTACCTGTAGATGTATATTCCATCTTTGCGTATTGCAGAGTTATCTTCTCTTGTGAGCAGGTATTGATTGTTACGTCATACTGTTTGTCACCAATCAGCTACAGGTAAGTACCGTTTATCACCAATCAGCTACAGGTATTAAATACTGTTGTCACTAATCAGCTACAGGTAAGTCCTGTTAATGTCACACAGGTAAGTATTGTTTGTCACTAATCAGCTAGAGTTACATTGTAAGTACTGTCTGTCACTCATCAGCTACAGGTATTAAAGTTCCGTTTGTCACTAATCAGCTACAGGTAAGTCCTGTTAATGTCACCCAGGTAAATACTGTTTGTCACTAATCAGCTAGAGTTACATTGTAAGTACTGTTTGTCACCAATCAGCTAGAGTTACATTGTAAGTACTGTTTGTCACTCATCAGCCACAAACTAAGTATTGTGTTGCCCCATCATACAAAATAAATTGAATATTAATATATAAATATTAGTAATATAACAAATTTCACACTTTTTAGGTCACCTGAGCTTTGCTCAAGTGACTTAATCTGATCGCTTTCTGTCTGTCGTTGTGCGTAAACTTTTACATTTTCGACTTATTCTCAAGAACCAGTGGATGGATTATTTTTTTAAATTGAGATTCCTACCCCAACCCCAGGGGCCAGGGCAGGGCCCCATAGGGAAAATTTACCAATATTTCATAAAATCTTCTTCTCCAGACTCAGAGGTACTAGTCAATTTCTCAGCATAGATGGAAAGATCATCAGAGGCTTTATTTAAATTGTAATTTTCAGTGTACCTGAGCCATCCTTTCTTCCTTGGGGAGGGGGTAAAGTTTACTATAGTTTATGTAGGGAAATAACACTTTTAGGTATATTTTAGCAATTTTCAATAGGAACAACTGAAAGGTATAGAATCTCAATATTTGGCAGGTGGCCTTCTGGGAAAGAGCCAAACAAAGTTTGCAAATGAAAATGACCTTGACTTACTTTCAAGGTCACAGCATTCAAATATGTCAAATATTTGAACTACTTCTCTTGTTCAATTAAGTATCCCTGGGCCATCCATTCTCGTTTGGGGAGGGATTAAAGTTGACTTAAGTTTATATAGCAAAATAACACTTTTGAGTATATCTTGAAAAAAATTACATTTCGTTACAGTACCTGAGTCAGTGTGATGGGATAATTGTGATGAGCGATGGACAGATAACAGAGAGCGGCAAACATGAGGAGCTTATCAAAAACAATGGCGAGTATGCCAACCTCATCAACACCTTCTATGCAAAAGAAGACAGCGACTCAGGGGATGAAAATCAGGAATTTAGGGGTAAGCACACCTGCCTTATATCACACGATTGGCATGACTGACATACTTTTCTGCCTTCTGTGTATAAGTTTCCTGGTGTAACATGGATATAGAATTCATACAATCATTTAGTGCAATAATGCAATAATGTAATTTGAGGATTTCTAGGAACTGGTTATTCAGGCACAAACAACAGATTCTATATATATATATATGCCACCTGGCTTTAATACCTTATGTTTGTGAGTGCATGCTGGTAAAGGGGACATTATAGTGTTCTATTGTACGTTGGGATCATGCTTTCAATGCCATCTTCAGAACCCCTAGACTTGAGTGCTGCAGCACCCACCCAAATACTGTTTTTACTTCGTCTGGGTTGTGGAGTTGTAGTTATTGAAACAAATTAGAGGCTGTTCTTGTTTCTTGTTAATGTAATATTTGTCACACTTGCTTGCATACATATGTGCTAACATATATTCCGTCTTTGCGTATTGCAGAGTTATCTTCTCTTGTGAGCAGGTATTGATTGTTACGTCATTTGTTTGTGAGAGTAACGTCATCAATTTTTGAGAAAACGAGGTTATTTTCTCACACAAACCAATGACGTAATAATCAATACCTGCTCAAAAGAGAAGATAACTCTGCAATACGCAAAGATGGAATATACATGTAACCGTTCCTGTAGTGTCCTCCTTACTTTGACTTCTCTTTGACAATTGATTTTAGATTACCAGAAGTGACATTTTAAGGAAACACTATCTTAGTTATTTAAATCTTCCTTAGAAAGTTGTGATGAATGATTATGAATGTTGGTTTTACTACAAAAATCTCAAATAAAAAGTCAGATTTTGATAATATAAGATCACCATTATAAGTAGGTAGTAACTGTATGTACTTATTCCAACTTACAGAGAGACTCGGGTCTTCACCCAAAAGTCCTCGGGAAAGAACATTTTCAGGTACACGTCAGAGAACTACTTCAGGGAGAGAACGGACACTGTCAGCATCTTCACACCACTCCCTAAAGGGCCAAGCTAACGGTGTTGACAGACAGATAAGCACCATGTCTGCTATGAGTGACGGGTCAGGGCAACAACCTCCTACAAATGGTATGATTAGTCTCCCCTGGGAGTAATTCTTTCATTTAAGTTACGATATTAGGAAATAGACTTCCAGCTCCTATATCTGTTCCTTAAAATTTAATATGCCTGCTTTTAAGTCTACTCAGGGGGGAGCAGTTATCAAAATAAACATTCTTGTTAGCTCATACTTTAATTAACATTTAACATAATATTTGCCGAAGTTTGACTGAAATAGCTTGCTAACTTCTGTAATTTTTCCCATCAAAATTGTTTCAATTGAAACTAGAATGAGATCTGATATTTAAGAAACATTTATGATGTAATCTGCCATGATAACAAAGTGAGTGCATTATAATACCATGCACAAAATTGGATTCCAATCATTAAAGAGTTCACTTAGCGACCAAACCCAGCAGAACATTTTCCCAGATGGTTTGAGGAATACAAATTTGGAGTTCCTTCTCACCAGAGCACAGACTTAAGCAGGAGCATGAAAGTTGAGTTTGAGCAAGAGTACAGATTCATGAGTACTGGACCTGTGTTCATGAAACCGTATTCATGCTCATACTTAGATTCTGTGCTCAATTTCTTGTGCAATGATGAATTTATAATAAACTATTCATATTTTATCAATGATATGCATGAAAATTTGGAAAGACATTTAGCCGAAGACTGTTTTCAATGTTAACACTTGACTGTTTGACCATGTAACATGATTTGAGCAAGTTACAAGAAAGCCTGCTCGAGTATGAGAACGGTTTCACGAATACGGGCCAAGGTCCTGATGAATCATTTTCAATCTCAGCTGGAAAACTCATTGTGACTGAGGAGAAGGCAAAGGGAAAGGTGACTGCCAAAACCTACTGGACCTACATTCAGGCTGCGGGTGGAATGTTTGTGGCTTTATCTGTGATGCTAATCTACATCGTCAGTGTTGGTATCCAGAGTGGAACCAGCTGGTGGCTGTCCTACTGGCTAAACCAGGGAAGTGGGGTAAGTATAGGTAGCACAGAGCTGGTTAAACCATTGGAGGTTTGTCCGGTGTGGTGCAGTGGATAATTCCTGGCCTTCCACTCGCTCGCAAACAGCCAGACCAACAAGAGTGATAAATATAATTTAGAATAACTTATTTCATAATTATTGTAAAATAAATAAAGTTTATATCTAAACCAATGGAGGTTGGGTACAGGCTAAATCATTGGGTTGACCTACTTAAATGTGGGGGTAAGAATCTGCTATATCAGGGGGGTTTGGGTACATATTGGCTAAACTAGGGTGAATGGGGAAATATACAGTTGAAGTAAGGGCTTAAAGGATATTACAAGTTTCTGGTTAATTGTGATTAGGTCTATTTACAGAGGCAAAGCAAAGGGGAAAAGACCTGGTCAAGTGGAACCAAAAGACTTATAAATCTCCCAAGCTCAATTGTATTCTTTAACTATTTTATTGTACTGACTCAGGATGCTCTGAAGGATTTGATATTTAAGCAATATTCCATCTGCTTATTTTGGAAATCTATTGGGATCTATATTTACACTTTCAATATCTGTGCTGTTGCTTCAACCGTCTCTCACCTGATTGGCTTGGTCAGTTTTGTGAGAAAATAAGGAAATTGTCATTCAAGTATATGGAAACTATCAAGGGAGTTAGTCTGCATGGGGCATTTTAGTTTTCAGACTAATATATGACTGGTAGAGAACTAACTCCCTGGACAGCAAGGTGAGGGCACCAGGGTAAATATGGGGATATAGTAATTGTTAAGAAATCATTGTTATTTATTCCCCGAAAGTGTACAATTTTTTTATTTGATTTCAGAATACAACGGAAGAGGTGATGATAGGAAATGTGACCTCAATAAGGTTGAGTATGAACATCCGTCAAAATCCTGATCTTAACTTCTACGCCATGATCTACGGGATTGGCATTGCGGTTGTCATCCTGACAACCCTTCTCAGGACTATTCTCTTTATGAAAGTAAGTATTTGGTTAATAGATGTTAAGGATCCCCGTACCATTGTCAAAAACTGTTAACTACACATTGGAAACTGAATTATCTGGCATGACGTACGCGACTTTAGCTTTAATAAGTCATTTCTAGAAAGAAAACCATACCATCCAAGACTTTTATAAAAAAGTAATAAAAATGAAATTGGAAAGAAAATAATCTATGATAGTGTACATGTTCCGAATGTAAAAGTTCAGTGGGTAGATCAGGATTTGAGCCATTGAAATACTATCACTCTAACTAACTTAGCCACTAGGTCAAAAGAAATCTCCTTGCCTAATTGCGCTAAAGTAAAGTCCAAATCAAAAGTAACGATGGGTTAATTACTGTTTGGAAATGCATCAAATTCTCTAGTGTTTTGCCTACAGAGGGCCCCCCCACCGGGACAGGGATCCTTAAATATATAGAACAAAGAATATAATGGCAGGCTATGCCTATATCAGTTCTCTGCATATAGTTTGGTTACGTTTAATATGGTTTAACGTCCCATACATGCAGGATCTAACAGCGCGAGGCAAAATCTCACAGATTTTCACCTCCGATAAAGTCTAACGGCGTGGGACATGAATTTACAGACAGTCCTCAAAACCCCACAGGTTTTTTAGTGACCGATCAGTAAACCATTTTCCTGTTGTTGTTTACTCAAAGTTTTACAAGATTCTACAATGTAATAATAATATAACAGCTAAGACCATTTATGGACATGTATCTATTTATAACATCTAGAAGTGCTTTCACTTATGTATTTTGTTAGTTGCAATATCATGAAGCACATTTGTTGATTGACAACATCGGCGAAACGGGATGGAATGTTCATGTATACCCGTGTTAACTCTTTAAACCTTGAAAGTCAAGGAAAATATACTGATTTGATATCAACCTATAAATCATATCTTTTCTCATCCTTTCATATTTTAAGGTCACACTTCACGCTTCCAGTAAGATGCATGATACCATATTCAGAAAGGTGCTATCTTGTCCAATGAAATTCTTCGACACAACCCCAGTGGGGCGAATCATCAACAGGTTCTCCTCAGACATGGATGAAAGTAGGTATCATGATAGTTATGGCTATCGTCATGTTGTTTTTGACACATGCGTTAGGTAATACAGGTGTCTAGGATAGGGGATCGATCATACTACGACGTTTGCTTAACGTGGAATTGCAGAAACAAAAGTAGAGTTTAATTTATTTTTAACTCTGATGAAGGAGTCAGTTTGATTTACCAGTAGGTTTAATATTGAGATGTTGTGCAACTGTTTTGGTTGGCAAACTTATGTAGATGCTGTACAAATGTAATTATGGGAGGGCATTCCTTAAGCCCAACTATTGTATATGTATGTTTCACTGTGTACAGTGTTAACCTATTTACACAGTTGATGTCCGACTGCCTGGAAGTGCCGAAGTTTTTTTAATGAATATCCTGACCATCATCTTCGCGCTCATTTCCATCTGTTATGTGTCACCATGGTTTCTTATTGCCCTTGTTCCATTGGTTGTTGCCTTCATAATCATCAACGTCATCTTCACCTCCGGAGTTCGAGAGCTGAAACGATTAGACTCCACAACGCGCTCTCCGTTACTGAGTCATGTGACTGCCTCCATACAAGGAATAACAACTATTCATGCATTTGGGAAATCACAAGAATTCTTAGATAAGTAAGTACTTATAATTTTTCTTTGTGATTCAATGCTAAATTAACTGTCAGTTTTATTTTCATTGTACATGTATTTATTATGATATAGCCGATTTTAATTGAATGATGGTTGATTATTATTTATTCACATTGAAGTGTCTTAAATTAATTCAATGTAAACAAATAGGTATACTTGAAAATTGTGCAGGTGAAAGCAATAAAAATCATGGCACTGTCTTGTATCTTTGAACAAGATACTTTACTCTACTTGTTCCAGTCTACTCAACTGTAAATAAGCGTGTGGTTGGGCAGTGCTAAAATTGTAGAATGCTAGCTGTGCATGGGTGCCGACTGTATGCTTCCCGGGGAGTTGAGAAAGAAATTGGCTGGTTGCAAATGTCCTATAACCACGGATAATAATTTGTGAATCGCTTTGAGACGACCTACGAACTAGGTTGTGATAAAACTGTATATAAAAACCTCAAATTACTTTTGATATTAGTAATATTTGACATTTAGATGCCTTTGTACCGACAGAGATGGGATGACATAAGGGTTTATAAATAGCTATGTTCACATAGGAGATGGCCCTAAATTGGCAAAATGTCACTTTCTGACTTCTACTTTAATGTGTCAAATAACCCACACTACAAAGAATGAGATATACTCTTGAAAAAAATAAACAGCAATGATAAAATATGATGTAATTATGAAGTCAATCTTGTTTGGATTGTATTTATCCCAAGAAAGCTAGGAAATTGATTAATATGGCTGCACTATGCAGGGTCAATTTTGTAATAGAATGTGATTATATCATTTTAGCAATGTTTTAACATAATTTATCAATAAATAATGTTATACTGCCATAAAATAGGACTAAGGGGTTGTTTAGTTCCCATATTTTGGGCAGAAGAGCTCCCACATGGGAGATAACTGGTATTTACTACTTTGGGCACTGATAGGTCTCTTTAGACTATTTGCATACTAAATTTAGAGTACTAGTATTTCATTGTAATTGTTTTGTTTATTTTAATAGAATAAAAATTAGCAATTTTCTTCTTAGTGGACAGTGTGTTTTACTGAGTTCTTTAATTTCACGTTAAAATATTTAAAATGATTTAAAATGAAATATATTTAAATATTTATTGTTCATGTTCTGTTACATACTGTGTTATTGTGATTTGTAGGTTTCACCAGTTAATGGACACCAATACAGTACCATTCTTCCTCTTCTACTCATCCAATCGTTGGCTGGCGGTCAGACTTGACCTAATAAGTGTAATTGTTATCGGAATAACGGGACTGCTGGTCATCCTTACATATGAAACCATTACCCCTGCTCTAGCTGGCATGGCTATGGCCTTCGCTATACAGGTAAGTCATATGCTATTACTTGTGGGTATGCTACTTCCTTTCATTGCAATTGGTCAATAAAGTTAGCATGAGTGACATTTTGTAATGCAATCAATAATGCACTTGCCTTTTACCAAGGTGACCTGGGTTCGATTTCCTGATTGGACGTGAAAAGGTATGGGGTTAACCTGCATAACCTAATGAGTTAATTTCGCGGTGTGCTCCGGTTTCCTCCCACATTAAGACCCCAAGGGCGCCAATATCCGGGTCAACAATAGTGATCGATATAAGTTGAAATAATTTATTTCATAATTGTTATGAAATAAATAAAGTTTCGAAAAATCAACGGGGTGAGGTCAGGTCAGTAGAAGCTTCAACCGTCTCTCACCTGATTGGCTTGGTCAGTTTTGTGAGAAAATAAGGAAATTGTCATTCAAGTATATGGAAACTATCAAGGGAGTTAGTCTGCATGGGGCATTTTAGTTTTCAGACTAATATATGACTGGTAGAGAACTAACTCCCTGGACAGCAAGGTGAGGGCACCAGGGTAAATATGGGGATATAGTAATTGTTAAGAAATCATTGTTATTTATTCTCCGAAACATAGTAGCAATTTTGTACATGATTGAGATTGACTTACATAAGGGGTTGAAACTAAATAGCATCATTTTATTCATGATGAAGAAATCACGATTGAGCAGTGACATTTTGTCGCAGGTAAAATCTGCAGAGTGACATGTTATGTTGTAGCTGACAGGCCTGTTCCAGTTCACCATCAGACTGGCCATAGAGACCGAGGCCAGGTTTATTTCTGTAGAGAGACTGCAGCACTACTCTAAGGTAATTAACTGAACACCAAGTCACCGAGTCACATTAACGATACTTTGTCACCTTATGAATACTGAGTCTGAGATATTTTGAATTCTAACTTACCTTTAAAATACTAAGTCACCTAATGGAAACTGAGTCATTATACAAATAATGAGTCACCTTGCAGATACAGGGTCACTTTATGAATGCTGAATGAGTCGCCATACAGTTACTGTTCATGGGTCACCTTTTGAATATTAAGTCACCTTACAGATACTGAGTCACATTATTAATACTATGGCACTTTTTGACTACTGAGTGACCTTAGGAATACTGAGTGAGTCACTTTATTAATACTGAGTGAGTCTTAGATACTGAGTCATTGATCATGAAACACCTTAGGAATACTGAGGGAGTCAACATACAAATACTGAGTCGTCATAGATACTGAGGCATTAATGATCATGAAACGCCTTGTGAATACTGAGTGAGTCAACATATAAATACTGAGTCACCTTTTGAATACTTAGTTAAAAAATCATCTTATTAATGCAGAGTCATCCTACCAAAATTGAATCATGAATATTGTTTTTTTTAGGTCATCTGACCCTTTGGGTCAGGATGACCTATAGTCTTCGTGCTTCGACCGTTGTCGTCCGCCGTCCGTAAACTTTCAACATTTTAAACTTCTTCTCAAGTTCCACCAGTCAGATTGAGCTGAAACTTGCCTAAAAAGATCCTGAGATGGTCCTGACCAAGTGTTGTTATTTTTCGGGTCGGTCTATAATCCAAGATGGCCACCATGGCCACCATCTTAAAAGACACATTTTAAACTTCTTCTCCAGTTCCACTGGTGCCATTGAGCTAAAAACTGATGGGGATGTTAAGGAAAAGAAGCCGACAAATTGTTGTTATTTTTAAGCCCCGGCAAAACTTCAACATGGCAGCCATGGTGGCCATTTTGTAACATGATTGCGCAATCATGGTTTTCCTTATTAACACCTATTTTAAACTTATTCTCAAGTTCCACCAGTGGGATTGAGCTGTAACTTGCCTGAAATTATCCTGAAACAGTCCTGATCAAGTGTTGTTATTTTTTCGGGTCTGTGCAAAATCCAAGATGGCCACCATGACCGCCATCTTGAAAAACACAATTAAAACTTCTTCTCAACTTCCACTAGTGGGATTGAGGTCAAAATTGCCTGAAATGATCCTGAGATGGTCTTGACCAAGTGTTGTTATTTTTTGGGTTGGTCTGAAATCCAAGATGGCCGCCATCTTGAAAAACACTTTTTATACTTCTTCTCAAGTTCCACTGGTGCCATGTAGTCAGATGACCGTTTAGGCCCATGGGCCTTTTGTTTTTGGTAAACTTTATGGCAGTTTTCTGTTGATGGGTCATTAGCATTATAATATCCTCCTTATAACTTGTGAAATGATTATCATTGTAGGAAGTGGAGTCAGAAGCACCAGCTACCATTAAGGAAAATCGCCCTGCGTCAGATTGGCCAAAAGATGGTTCCATAACATTCAAAAGAATAAAAATGCGCTACAGAGAAAACCTGCCTTATGCTTTAAGAGGAGTCTCATTTGAAGTTCTTCCTAGGGAAAAGATTGGTATTGTGGGGAGATCAGGGTCAGGTAAGTGCTTAAAGGTAATTCATAATGACATGCAAATATCAATATTTATGTTTTATCATTACTTCAATTCAATATGATGTGTGTAAACTGTTTATAACTGTAAGGAGAGGGCGCTCAAAGGCTTTGCCTGTTGCCCAATTTCTTTGTATCTGAGATCTGAACAATAAATATTCTGAAATGAAAATGAAAGGTAATTCAAGATCAGACGTGTGTTTGTCAGTAGTTGAAACTACAGTGTTACTAGATAGGTAAGTTTTGAATAATAATTAGCCTCAATTTTACAAAATGAAATGGATGTAATCTTTCAAAATCAGACAGCCATATTAAAAAGGCAGCCACTGATACTACGGCTGCCATAGTTAGAAATGTAGAGGTGAGTCTTTAAAACAAGACAGATACAAATACAGCCACACTTAAAAACAACTGTCATTCTTTCTTCAGTCTTTGTACAAAAAAAGGTCAGGTAGGGAATTAAAAACAAATTACTCATCTCTTTTCTCCAATTTTGAATTATTTTGTTAATTTGTAGCAGACAGGAAAGATGGAAAAGGTTCCCTGTGATTTTGATTTTTGTAAATGTATGATTTACTAGGTAAATCCTCCCTGGGTGTGGCACTGTTCCGCCTGGTGGAGGTGGAATCCGGTTCCATCCTTATTGACAAGATGGACATCAGTGGCATTGGTCTGGATGACCTGCGATCAAAACTGGCCATCATTCCTCAGGATCCTGTCCTCTTTGTAGGAACAGTAAGGTATGTGATTGCTCACCTGTGTTGGGTACATAGTATATCAATCCCTGACTCTAGTCGGTATACTTTTTGTTTATATACAGTTTTCACCCTATTGGATATTTTACATTCATAGTCAGAGTTTTCATTGATTCTATACTGTGTACTGGGAAATTTTTGCCTGGTCAAATTTTCTGGTAAGCAGTATTTTATAACTCAAAGAAAAAAAAGTATCATTTTTAAGCCTCTGCCATTTTATGGGTAAGGGATATGCTTTTGTTCTGTTTAAGCAGTGTGTAGTCTCAATATTTAGTGTCATCAGTTTTGTGATTCTAATTTTCTGAACTGATTTTTATCAAACTCAATACGAAGGTCAAGTTTGATATGAGAATATCTCAGATGATTTTGTGCTACAGGGTGCAAAGTTCAAGGTCAAGTTGCTATTTCATAGAAAATTATCAACCAATTCAGTGTCATCATTTTAGCTACTTCATTTCTTCATTTTGAAAGAAATTGAGACAACACTTTATTAGCAAGGTCTTAATATACAAAAGTCAAGTAAATGTCAGCATTTTGTAACAACTTTGTAATTTTTGTTTAAAAATTGTCACAAACTGATTTTACATGGCAGCAGGGTAACTCATGTCTCCCAAATATTATATTTATTTCGTGAATATTGGAATTCATGTAAATTTGTTTTATACACTTTGTTTCTTATTTCTATTAAGATTTTACATTCATGAAAACAAATCTGGAGTTAAGATTGAATTCAATTTCCATTATCTTCATGTTTATCAATTATTTCCGTTTGTTTTATTAAATGTTTGTGGTCTTGATTGAAAAACCAAATCGGCCAAACAAATTTAACAATGCATTAATAAAAAATTGTATTTTATTGAGAATATGTATTAAAAATAATATAATTATACTTTTTTACAACCAACAGCTTTTGAACAAGTTGTTGTACCTAATTTTGTAAGAGGTTTAACTCATTCACCCCTGAAGGCACATTTAAATTCTTCCAATTCAAAGGTTGGAATAGTTCATTATGAAATTTCAGGGGTGAATTAGTCAAAGAGATTCACTGTTACCCTAAACAGTTGCTGACACTACAGCTATTTTCACAAACATCTTGTCTTTGTTGACAGATATAACCTGGACCCGTTTCAGCAGTACACAGATCTACAGCTGTGGGATGCATTAGAAAAATGTCATATTAAAGAAGCTGTGAGTGTCTGTGTCACTATCTCTGGGGTTCAGGGAGGGGGTCTCATTGTTATATTCTTCTATGATTTGTTTCTGTGCCATCCTAGATACTCCTGGGGTTACGCTCACTTTCGCTCTCTGTACCCCTGGAATATGTCATAACAGAATTGAAGACACAAAGATAGCTGTTTGATTGGTCTCGGGTAATAAAACCTGACCAATCGCTAGTCTGATTCCTGTCCTTTAAAGATTACAGAGGGGCGACACCCAACTTCAAAGCCAGTCAATTTTTACTGTTATGCGACCACAAGATTCTTTTGATGTACATCAAAGGATCGAACTATAGTCTTCTTGTCTCATCCACAATGTGAGACACACTGAGCCTTCGATGACATATCCCATGGGCCTATTAGTGGGCACAAGCCTATTACTGAGCATGGGCCTATTACTGAGCATAAGCCTATTACTGAGCATGGGCCTATTACTGAGCATGGGCCTATTAGTAAGCATTGGTTTGTTACTGATAATATTTGTTAATTATATTTGTATGCAAATTCTTGCATAGTTGGTAATATTTCTTTCTGTTAATGCTATTTTAGAAAACATAAAGTTTAAAATGCAAAAAAAAAGAAGGATAGTATTTACTTTTTAACAATAGAATTATATTTGAATACATATAATTACTTCATGTAATAGGTGGCCATTTTGATGGCAGTATCAAGATAATTTATTTTTAAAACAATAGCTATTGGGCATTATGCCGAACAGAGACGTTGAAGACATAAGGACAAAAAAAAGTGGATACCCATGTTTTTTCCTAGAATATAATTACAATATGGTTAAAAAAGGCTTAATGTTTCTATTTCATATGAAATTTATGTTGTTGTCCAGAAGATTTATTTCATGAAGATATTTAGACTTTTTTCTTAAAATCATATGAAATGGAAACATGTTCCAGATCTATATGAGAGAAAATGTTTCGCTTAAAAAAGGAGCAAGTACAATGAAAGTACAGATTATTTTCATAGCAGCTAGTTGTGTGTAATGACCATAACAGGTGTGTCTGAATCAAATCAAAGCTTTTTGGAGTTATCTTGACACATAAAAAGGGAAAGATAAATTGAACAAAGCAGTTTCAGTGGCGTTTCACGCACTTTCTCTCTCACTGGAAATGTGGAATGAGGGAGATCTCCCAGAGGCTGACACCTTTGTTAAGTGTATAGCCTTACTCCACCAGTTTACCATCTTTCATGATCACATATTTGACATTCTGTGTGTCTAAGATTTCAATATGTTTATTGTCTTACAGATTGCCACCCTGGAGCAGCAGTTAGACTCTACTGTGGTGGAGAACGGAGAGAATTTCTCTGTGGGTGAGAGACAACTCATTTGTCTGGCCAGGGCTCTGCTACGTCACAGTAAGGTACATACATTGTCATGTATAATGGTTCAGTGATAACAAGTAATTTGATCTACTCGCATATAGTACTATAATCTGATTCACATGCATGCTTAAATGTATTATATCATCAGTATATATGTCAAACGTTTGAGTGACCTTGATTTTCCAGAACTATTTGAGAGCAGCCATTGTGTCTGTAGTCAATTATCTATTAGGTCTTAAAGTCGCATTTCATACTTACATACTTAATCTACATAGCTTTTGTCATTAACATTTTTTTTAACTTTTCAACTTTATAATTTACCACCATGATGATTTCTGATTTACTCATACTACCAGTAAAACTGATTCTGATAACATCAAAGATAGCTAACAAGTGTTCTGATTGACTGACACACTATGAGTCAAAAATGACATTCTTTAATGTCAAATTGGTTCAGATTTTGCTGATATGTTTCTGTTATCCTGTAAATGACATCCTATCCAGTGTTTGGAAGAGCTTTGGTCAATTATAGGAGCCCAGCTGTTATAAACGCCTAGCACTTGTTCACAATCTGTCACGAAATGACTTGAAGTTTGAAGGAATTCCATGATATGGTGTAAAAATCACATATTAGTTGTTTCACTGTGTGTTGTCATGGTGACTGTTACAGATTCTGATGCTAGACGAGGCGACAGCAGCTATAGATACGGAGACTGACGCCCTGGTACAGACCACCATTAAGGAGGCATTCGCTGACTGTACCATGTTGATAATCGCCCACAGACTAAACACTGTTCTCAATTGTAGTAGAATTCTTGTAATGGAGGATGGCAAGGTTAGTGTTAAATTTAAATATTCTCAATAATTTTGTAGACTTCCTTGAAAACTGTTGAGAAAAATGTCTTAATCTCCCAATCAAGATCCTGTGTTATCTGGAAATTGAAGAGATTTTTTATACAGTTAACAGTCAATTACCAGAATATACCATTTTTTGACTTTTTTTGTGAAATTGTTGTACTGATACCCCAATTAATTTGAACTTTTAAAAACAAATTACTTTGTATATTTACACCATATCTCAAACTAATTTTTTTCTGAGAAATGAAGAGCTCTGCTTCTGTAAAATAAATCCCTTTTTAACGCATGTTTGGGGTCTCTACAAAAGGATTTATTGTTGTGATACATATAATCTTTACATTGAAGTGTAACATCAGTGTCATTTCTGTTCGAAAAAGATATCTATTACAGATAAAATAACAAAATAACACAAACATCATTTCCTTGAAATTTATCTACACACTGGTCAACGTTAGCCTTCTCTGTACACTTAAAACTTTCAAAACCTCATTATACTGCCACCTTCTGTCCTCTGTGGTTTTGGCGGTATAACAGGTTTATCGTTTTGAACCCAAGTGTTGACACACCAACTGAACTTATACTTTGAAAACACTAGGTGATCTGACGCTGAAAAAATCACCGATGGTCGTTTGTCTGGCCGTGTTTTGTCCGATTGACTGCACAAAATTCTGTATCGCTTAACATTTCTGAATGTCCGACTCAGTTATAGAAGTGAGCTATATTCATCATAATTTCTGCAGTAAAACTTACCTGTAGAAAGACAAGAAAGGTGTAGCTATGGTTCAATGATTTCATGTGTACACAACCATACAGCTGATTACCTGGTCAGTGGGCAGTCACATGTAACAATACAATGTACACACGTACGTAACATTCCTGTCATTGGCATATACCTGTACTCGACTCAAATTGACGGTATTTAACAAAGTAAAAATAGTGTGTTTTTAACCATTTGTTTTGGGAATATTATGGTGGATGGCGGTATGCGGGTTTGGCGTTACAACGGGTGCATTTACTTTGGAAGAAATCTGTTCTTAGTAAATTAATGGTGAAATGCGGTTTTGGCAGTTTAACGGCAGGCATTACAACAGGGTTTTACTGTATTGATATGAAAAATTAACATGTGTATAGACACCACTTAGGTCAGTTGAAATCATTTGAAAATTCTTATTATTCCCAAAATGTTCAAAAATCAATCTCTGCACAAAATAAGACTGATTTTGCCAGGAGCTCCATTATGCAATGAAATATTATTAATGTTCCTGTCGATAAAACATGTGGAAAGACATCTTATTCTTGATATTTTGTTAGTTATTAATTGTCACAAAACTCTGAAACTGGGCATTTTTTAGCTCTGCCTTCAATTCAGTCAAAGTGCATTCATTTATCAGAGAATATTTCTGCATCACCAGCTGAACCGTTTCAAATGCAACTCAGATATATAAAAACGAAAAACTGTCTGTACCATTATCTGTACCATTATATAAATTAGATTCTTATAAGTTAAATTGTTATGTATAACTTTGATACGTAGCATTATGCTGATTTTTATTCCAAAAAACAAGAATACAGTATGGGTTTTTTTCATTTTTTTTGCAGGTGGCTGAATTTGGTTCTCCGTCTTCCTTGATTTCCAACCCTAAATCCAAATTTAAAATGATGCTGGATGCTACAGAAGGCCAATATGAACCTAGGTGATGCAGGACCATTTATGGGAACTTTTCTAATTTAATCAATTTTATTTAATTCTTTTCAATTTTCAGCTTATTATGGTCATTCATGAAAGTCACTGGTTTTAATTGTTGTTAATGGAAGACTTTGAAAAATTTAAATCTGTCCAGGGACAGTGTTTTTCTTAAAGAAAATTAATGTACTATAAATTTTCTTCGAAAGGGAAAAAAGATAAATGATGAACATTGTCACTCCATGTACCAATATTTCAGTCCCCAGGAGCAAATGCCAGTGATAAATCTAAGTGGCGTCTATCTTGTTTTTTCCTCTTCCTCAAAAAAAACACCAAGGCGGATGATACTTATGTAGAATCAGCTTTGAATTTCGCTTCAGGAAATATTTGTTATAAGATAATGAACACTGCCTCACTCATTGGCTTTAGCTGATGTAAAAATATTTTGAATATCGTCAAATCACAGCCATTTCACAAGTCTACATACGTTGCACCATTAGTAAATATATTAAAACTTCATTATGGTGCCGTAACATTGGAGGATATTCACATGTGAATTTTCAAAATCATCAATTACTGTAGGCTTAGAATGACTACCCTTACGAATCCCTGTACCACTAGTACTGTCACTGTATCTGTGCATAGGAACATTCTTCTTGCATGACTATACTTTCCGTCAATCTATTTTGAAAAAGGAAACTTTACTTAATGTGGGGCCTTCATGAAAGAAATATGGGGAAATAAATGAAATATAATTAACTGCAGTATTCTGAGTGTAAGATATCAACAGAGCTAAATCAGGATTCGAACCCTGGACATCAGATGTATGTACTGTTGCCTTTACCAACTCTTCTACCTAAATAATTGTCAAATGTGCTACAGTTAAATCTGAAACAAAATTATGGGGAGGCTACTGGGTAAATGTAAAAGCAGATCGTGAATGCAGTTAGATCGTGAATGCAGTTAGACTCCTTAAGAGTCACTAATCATAGATACTGTAGACAAAAAATTGGCATGTATTGTTTAGAATCACAAGTAGGTAGGATGAAATATATACTTTATTATGCTAGAAAAATATTGTGTAGGACATTTAAATATACCTTTTCAATTAATTTAGTTTTGTCACAAAGTTATATTTTGACATAATGTGCATTCCTTTCAAACTGAGAGAAGGGCTTTCCTTCTTTCTATATATTTGTATGACAGCATGAATATGTTTTATGAGACTGCCCAGAATGTATATAATCATTATGATATTATTAAGGACTCATGCAACTAAATCAGCCAATCAGCAAGTGTTTCATACAATCAGAGCTATCAAACTTCCCTCACTAGAAGGAAGACTCCCTGATTTTGACCACAACTTTCCATTATCTCCCTCAAAAATCCCTTATTTACGTCCAAACTCACACACACTCAATATCTACATCCTGTGGTCCAATGATTTCATAGTTACAACAGGGTGTGTGTAATGATCAGAACAGGTGTGTCTGAATCAAATGAATGCTTTTTGGAGTTATTTTGATACATAAAAAGGGAAAGATAAATAGAGCAAAGCAGTTTCAGTCGTGTTTCACACACTTTCTCCATTTCGTTCTACATTTTCAATGAGGGAGATATCCCCTCATTGGAGGTTTCAGAGGTCAACAACTATGTTCAAATACAGCGCCTACGAGTACAGTAAATTTTTAATTTTAACATATTTTTATTAGAATGAAATGTACTGGTGCTTAAATTTGAAAAGAAATGTATGGTTTTAGTAGATTGTAATATCTGATGGTGGATTTATGAAGGGGTAACATGTCCCAGGTGTTATATCTGATGGTTGATTTATGAAGGGGTAAAATGTCCCAGGCGTTATATCTGATGGTGGATTTATGAAGGGGTAACATGTCCCATGTGTTATATCTGATGGTGGATTTATGAAGGGCTAACATGTCCCAGGTGTTATATCTGATGGTGGATTTATGAAGGGCTAACATGTCCCAGGTGTTATATCTGATGGTGGATTTATGAAGGGGTAAAATGTCCCAAGTGTAATATCTGATGGTGGATTTATGAAGGGTTAAAATAACCCAGGTGTTATATCTGATGGTGGATTTATGAAGGGGTAAAATGTCCCAGGTGTAATATCTGATGGTGGATTTATGAAGGGGTGAAATGTCCCAGGTGTTATATCTGATGGTGGATTTATGAAGGGGTAAAATGTCCCAGGTGTAATATCTGATGGTGGATTTATGAAGGGGTGAAATGTCCCAGGTGTAATATCTGATGGTGGATTTATGAAGGGGTAAAATGTCCCAGGTGTAATATCTGATGGTGGATTTATGAAGGGGTAAAATGTCCAGGTGTAATATCTGATGGTGGATTTATGAAGGGGTAAAATGTCCAGGTATAATATCTGATGGTGGATTTATGAAGAGGTAAAATGTCCCAGGTGTAATATCTGATGGTGGATTTATGAAGGGGTAAAATGTCCAGGTGTAATATCTGATGGTGGATTTATGAAGGGGTAAAATGTCCAGGTATAATATCTGATGGTGGATTTATGAAGAGGTAAAATGTCCCAGGTGTAATATCTGATGGTGGATTTATGAAGGGGTAAAATGTCCAGGTGTAATATCTGATGGTGGATTTATGAAGGGGTAAAATGTCCAGGTATAATATCTGATGGTGGATTTATGAAGAGGTAAAATGTCCCAGGTGTAATATCTGATGGTGGATTTATGAAGGGGTAAAATGTCCAGGTGTAATATCTGATGGTGGATTTATGAAGGGGTAAAATGTCCAGGTATAATATCTGATGGTGGATTTATGAAGAGGTAAAATGTCCCAGGTGTAATATCTGATGGTGGATTTATGAAGGGGTAAAATGTCCAGGTGTAATATCTGATGGTGGATTTATGAAGGGGTAAAATGTCCAGGTATAATATCTGATGGTGGATTTATGAAGAGGTAAAATGTCCCAGGTGTAATATCTGATGGTGGATTTATGAAGGGGTAAAATGTCCCAGGTGTAATATCTGGTGGTGGATTTATTAAGGGGTAAAATGTCCCAGGGTGCTCCTGTCTGGCTACACCGTTTTGACTTGTAGACACCCAGTCATCAAAACAACTGAATTCTGGCACTCTTATAAACCATTAAACCTGTCAAAGTGTCTTTTATTTAGTCTCTATCAAGTATGTATGAATCTAGACAGTTGTTACTGGTGTTGAACTTCAAATATTAAAGCTGGTAGCTCAAAAGTTAAGTAATAACGTTAACATACAGTAAATGATTTAGTTGCATGAATCCTTAAATTAAACACAATACATCTCCAGCACATATGCAGGAATACACATATAGGGAGATATTAGCCAGGTGGCATAGGACTAGTAGTTAGCGCCTGATAAGGCAGCTCCTACGAATTCCTCAAAAGTCTATTGATAATAATGTATATGCTAATTGTATTGATTGTATATCTATGTACTGTAAAGCGCTTTGGAGTGGCTTATGTTAGCTAGATAGGGCGCTATATAAAATGTTGTTTATTATTATTAATATTATAAATTGATGTACAGGGTTCCATTTGAAAATTATATAAGATGTACTAGAAATCATTTGTGTAGTTCAATGTATAATTTTGTGGAACAAATTGTTTGTATTCTTACATTATTTTCAAGTTGCCTGCCTGTTTGTCTGTCTGTCAGTCTACACTTTATTATTTGGGAATGAAAAACACATTTGGGAAAGACAAATAATTGTCTTTATTTTTTTATCTTTGTTCTTGTCCATGTTTTTTTCTGTTTCTCATATAAAATTGTTCAGTTAATTTATAGAATCCGAAGTTTTGTTTTTTTTGTATATATAAACATGTACAAATAGTCACATAGAATACCATGTTGTGTTGCAAGTCAAAAATTGTATTTTATGTATCAAATGAATATTTTTATTTAATTTAGATATTTTTTAGCAATTTTTTGAATGCCTCCTCAATACATATATATATATATATATAATTAGCTAAATATATTCTGGTGCTAAATGATAAAACGTTAATATAAAAATCACTACTGGACTCTTGCAGTAATTCATTCACCCCTGAAGACACATTTGAACTCTTCCAATTCAAAGATTGGAATAGTTCATTATGAAATTTCAGGGGTGAATGTGTTAAGTAATAGATATCCCCATCCTCTCATTCAGTGTATGATATTAATGATTGATTCAGTTACTGTTATATCATGTGCTGTATAAGAACCACAAAGCGTGTGCATTAAAACTGCTAGTTATTGCTAACCTCCAACATTTACTTTAAGGATGCCGGTACTACTACTAAAAAAATGTAATTATGCATCAGAAACCGTCTTTTATGGCATAACTGTACACTGTACCTTTGGTAAATAATTTCTGAAAAGAAAACTATACCTTGCAGACATTTACATGTATATAAACGGGAAATAATGAAGATGGAATAATCAAAATATAATCAATTACATCAGTTTTCTGAGTGTAATTAGTCAGCAGGGCTAGATGGGATTCGAACCCTGGACTTTAGATTGTTATAGTATTTTTCTAATCGATTGAGCTACAGAGGAGCCCAACTGTGCCTCAGTTACGTATACCCAACAGAAGTTAAGGGGAGGTTATATAGGAATATCCAAAGTGGAGTGGCCCAGGAGTCCTTGAGGTAAAAGTACATGTGTACCATCTAGTCATCACGATTAACTATATATTATCATTATTATGAAATATTTGTTTCCCATTTCCAACAGAACTATTCCATTTAAATCACATTTTGTGTTGCATCCAGCAGTAAGCAGTAATTCACAATTATTTAAAAAATATATGAGTATTTGAAAGCAAAACAAAAAGCAAAACAAATTTTACAGAGGTTTTTGGTACCAACTGAAATCAGATATTTTCTTTAGGCCAAGATTTTGTGGTTTCCCAGCAAAACACCCTTTCCTGGTTTAAAATGAATTTGTGGATTACGAGTACCCACTTAAACGGAGAATTGCTTCATATCAAACTTGTAATGACGTAGTGGACCTATGAATTTATTGAAGATTACCCACAAAATTAATGAAATTAAAAAAAATCATTGCTTGTATATTTCAAAAGGGAGATTACTCCAAGTTTACAAACACAGCTCTGCAGTGGAACTCTTCTTCGTGAATGTAATTTGAGCAGTGGTACCCTTTACCTTTAACAGTATTTTCATTCAAGAATCAAACATGATTCTAAAATTCTGCAAAATTAGAAATTATTGCACGGTGGAAATGTTACTTACCTAACTGCGTGATTTGATTACCAAAGAGACAATTGATCCTGTTAATTTGTACACTGTAGCTTTTTTTCAATGCATTTTCTCTAGCAGAGTAAATACTCCATGTTGGTTGTGTCTTGTATGTGTCTTTGCCTTATCTATGTACTCTGCCATGGCTTATTATAGAGTTTTAAGGGTATATTTCAATACCGATTTAGAGCTTTTAGCTCCATCAACCATGACTGCGCTCCGGAAGACTATAGTGAGAGTTGAGTAGTTGTCACAGAGTTAACACTTCTAGTCATGTGATAACGGGAACTCCCGAAACTTTATCAGTATAAAACACTAGTTATTTGTAAATGTTGTCCGCTGTATGTGAATATTACATGTTGTTCAAAAGCACTCGGTCTTCATTGTAATGCGCTCTTAGAACTGCTAGCGTCGATACTATTATTATTATTATTCATCTTATTTAAGTGTATTTTTTGTGATCAATAGGGTCATTGACATTTTTTGGCCTTCTGAATTCGCAATTAGTGTTGTCTCGGGTTTTTTCCGTGTTTTACTTGAAATAGTTTTAGAAATAATAAACATTATTGTGATATAAAATACTAATAAATAGAATGACTAATGTCATAAATGTAATCCATGTAATGATCGAAGTTTTGCTACAAACAGTCACACAATAGCATTCACGAGTATTGGAACCTCTGATTGCAATTTGATCTTTTTGTGTTTATTTTGTTATATTGTGCATGAATTAATTCTGTGGGTAATTAAGCTTCTTTCTCCTGTTAAACATCACCTAACTACAATATATTTACCTCATCACATCTTATTTGTTAATGATGTTAACTTAATACTAAATATTGTAATTTTTAAATTATTAAATATTATTTCATTTCAAATATATTTTATTGATTAAACAAAAGGATTGAGCAACAGGCTTTGCCTATATAAGCTCTCTCCATGGCTTCCAGCATACTTTTGATATTTGAAGACATTGAATACAATATTAAATATTATCAATTAATAAATACTATATTGTCATAAAATCATATTTCAGGGATTACGGTATCAGTTACGTTAATTTTTAAGGTTTCATGTTAATTATTAAATATTATCAATTAATAAATACTATATTGTCATGAAATCATATTTCAGGGATTACGGTATCAGTTACATTAATTTTTAAGGTTTCATGTTAATTGATAAAGTTACCATTTTCTTTTAAGGACCCCTGTCAATGACTAATTAATTGTTGGAAACTGGGATTTTTCTGGCATGAATATATAGCTTTGATAAATCATTTCTTGAAAGAAAATCATTCCTTGCTAGACTTTTATGAGAAATATTGAATAAGAAATAAACAAAATATATTCAACAGCATTGTTCTAAATGAAAAGAAAAGAAATCAGCAGGGCTAGAATGGGATTCGAACCCGGTATATAGTTCAGATTGATATATACTATCTTTCTAAACGAGCTGCCTGGTTAACAGAGGTGTCTTGGACCAACTGTACAACATTTAATTTATATATACCCGGTATCTATGGAAACGGGAACTAAGGGGAGGTTACTGTACATAGGGAAAACGTAGTGGG